CAGTAAAGTGTCCATTATATTGTGTTTATCATTCAAACTGGGACTGCAGCTCAGTGTGAAACAGCTCATGTGTTTATTTATTATTATTTATTAAAAATTTTAGTATGCCATCCTTTATATAAATATCTCAGGATGGCTTACAGCCATTTAAAAGAACAATTTAAAAGCATCTAATAACATCCAGTAAAAATTAAAACAATAGTACTGTGTAGAACAATAAATAGACATCAAATAAATCAGATTAAATCAAAACAAAACAAATCAAAAGCGACTACAAAAACCATTAAAACTATTATTTTTTAAAAAATACAAATAAAAAGGTTTTGACCTGGCGCTGAAAAGAGTATCAACTCGGCGCCAGGTGTATCACTCTGGGGAGCACATTCCAGAGTCTGGGTGCCACCGCAGAGAAAGTCCTACTCCAAGTTGATGTCCTTTTTACCTCTTTTAGAGAGGTTCCCGGAGCAGGGCTTCTCCCACATGAGGGCATATAAGGGGTGTGTTGCATGCAGGAATTCCCATCTTTGATCCTGGCATCTCCAGGCACTGCCAGGAAAAAGCTCTCACCTGAAAGCTTGCAGAGCTATTGCTGCCAGTCAGTGCTGACAACACCATTCTAGATTATCCAGTAGTCTGACTCAAGAGAAAGCAATTCCAGTGTTGCACATTGATTCAATTCCTGTATATCCCCCACAAATATGTGGAAACATCTAAGAATCTTTTTTCACTCCCCCTTCACGTCATTTGCATAATAGACAATATGGTCTAGCTGTGCTGAATGCCAATCAGTCATTTTTAAATAAAAGCAATATTTAGACAAAGGCATCCATAAATTGCTCTTAGTGTAAATGATTTCACATGCCTGATGGATCTATTTTTAAATAGGGCTCCAATTAAACACTGTCTGATCCTGTGAAACAGACTTGCTTGCCATTGATATTGTAATATCATCTTTTGTACAACATATTCACAGTAAATCCTTTACAGTTGGAAGGGAACCAGCTATAAACGGTTCAAATGAGTTTGTGCATGCAATTATCTTTCGCCAGCATCCCTCAATCTGTTTCCACATTTTAAAGGCGTGCAGACAAATTGAACAGCTGTTCTGAGAGTGGGGAGCCGTTTCCCACCCTCACTCCATACATTTGTCATATCTGCTTACATATAAAACTGACACAGCTTGGGAAGGCTGGGGATTAGATGGCCCTTGTGCTGAAGTGATAAAGACGAGCTGGTTCTTTATCCTGTAATTCAAAGCATTTTATGTGTGGGTTGAGATTTTCTAAAACCTTCAAAAATGATTTGAATGCTTTTAATTTCCATGAATTTGCAGTCTAATTCAGTCAAAGCAACCCTCGTAAGACTTGAAAATGCTCTCTCTCTCACTGTTAGTCCTCAACAAGCAACTGCTAACAGGAGTAGTCACTGCCTGTGCTTTTTCCTCTGCTCTGTCTCTACCCGTATCTTTTGTTGTGTCCCCTGGGTCTAGTTCCTTGTGTGCAAACTCCTTGGGGCAGGTCTTGCTCTCTCGCATGTCATTGTTTATTTATTTATTAGATTTACATACCACTTTTATCTTATAACAAACTCAAAGTGGCTTGTGGCTTACATCATTCTCCTCCTGTTCCAGTCAGAAATTATGCAGCAGACAAGCAGGAAAGGAAACGCATTTGCATGTCCACCTTGGATGTTGCTTCTGCTAAGATGTGTAGAACCCCAAAAGGTCTGTACTGTGTGAAACACACAAGTGCACAGAAGAGATTCTACCATGGCAGCGAAATCAAACTGGAGCCTTTGCGGGGCTCTGTCCAAAACAGGGTCGACATTTTTCTGCCCCTGGTGAAAGAGAAAATGGCACCCTCTCCATTCCACACACAGAAACTGAGCAGCTGGAAAATGGAATAGCATCTTCTACTGCATTTGAGGCAGCCACCTAGTTTGGGCAGCACAGTCCTCCATCAGAGGAGAGCCACCTGCGGCTACCAAACCAGCATCTGCTGTCTAACGCAGCCTCCGTATTCTGCCTGGCGGTACGGCCTGCCCCCGTCTAATCGGGGTGCTTCCAGACAGAATGCTCCAAGAGTTTTGGCACTCTGCTACAGCCTCCTTGGTTCTCTCCCCTCCCAACTAACCAACACAACCCTTCTTGAATCTCACAGACCTCCCTGTGAGTTTCCTTTCTCTTACTTTGTGTGGGCTTTGAGAACGACTGCATTTCTGGCCCTGGAAGAGGATATGAAAACCCCCACAGACTCTTCTGTTCTCTTTAACGCACCCAAGCACGCCCATTTGCATTCTTTGAAAGGCATTTATTTCAGTCTTTGGGAGAATTACACAACTCCGGAGGAAGGAGCAAGTAGCCATGCTGTGCCGATTTGTGGCAAAAGTGCGATAGTTTGTCAGCACCTTTGTGTGTTTGTTCCTATGCAGTGTTGGTGTACCATTACATTTGAATAAATTTACAAATACAAAACCAAGAGCTCATAGAAAACAGTAATCAGTTAAAGACTGTACATTAAAACCATTAAATAATCAACTAGCAACAATAATCAACTAGCAACTAAGACAGTCGGAGTCACCAAACAGCAGGCCTTAAAGGTTCATACAGGGCAAGAATATTTCAATGTTTCAGAGAGGACCAAATGATAGAGATGAATGCACCTCTTGGGGGAGGGTTTCCTGTATAATTCGGGCCATTACAGAGAAGGTCCTGTTCTTAGAAGATACTTATCTTGCATCTATGAAAGATGATGGCTTGGCTCCGAAATAGCTTCTTCAACTGCCAGTCCAAACCTGATTGGGGCAGTGTGGGTGCTTTACCTCTGGCAAAATACATGCTTCCCTGCCCCAAAACCACCCGCTGCTCACACACAATGGGGCCAGCTCCAGAGCTGGCGAGATATTCTCCAGAGCGGTGTGGCCAGATTTGCACAACAGAAGAGTCGCAAGCAGTAAATGCCGGATGTCCCAGAGCTACAAGTGGGCCTCCACAGGAGCAAGAGGGTGCCCCTGGGTGGCGAGAGACAAGCGGGCACCTGCAAGCAGTGGCTGTGGGCAGCGATCAGCAAGTGGGTGCCCAAGGGCCTAAAGCCATGAGCCACAAAATAAACTCAAAGGGCCACATGCAGCCACCAAGCCGTGGTCTGGCCACGTCTCCATTGTCCCAAGTGCAGGGTAAAAAATTAGAGTGTGATGCTTGAGGGCCACTCAAAATCTGGAACTTAGAATTGAAACAGGCACGCAATGCTCATTCTGGACTGATGCACAGACCACCCATCCCATCAAAATACTGGTCCATTTCATACTGTGGATCTCCCATATAAAATCTCTTTAAGAATTAAATTTTACAATGCGATTGGGCAACACCTAGCACTGACTCACAAATTAAGCTGCAGTCTATCTGCACTACAAGGGACTGCAGGTGGCACAGTGGTTTAAACCGCTGGGCTGGTAGATCAAAAGGTTGCCAGTTTGAATCTGCACAGCGGGGTGAGTGCCCGTTGCTCTGTCCCAGCTCCTGCCAACCTTGCAGTTCGAAAGCATGCAAATGCAAGTGGATGAAAAGGTACCACTCCGGTGGGCAGGTAACAGTTTTCCGTGCGCTTCGGTGTTTAGGCATGCCGGCCACTTGCGCACAGAGACTGTCTGGCTCCCTCGGCCAGGAAACGGAGATGAGCACTGCCCCCTAGAGTCAGGCATGGCTGGACTTAATGTCAAGGGGCAACCTTTACCTTTACCTATCTGCACTACAGACTTTAAGGCCACATCAAGCCATATTTTTGAGCTTTTCTGCTTCTTCCTCCTCCTTCCTTTTTAGCCTAAAAGCTTTCCTATCTTTCTGAAATGTTGGTGGTCTTTAACTAAAGCCCTTGCCCAGGATGGTTTCCAAGTTATAATAGCTTTACATTATCTTTATTTCCAGAAGCTGGGAGTGTTCATCTGCTGCAGCAAAAGCAAGCTTCTGGTGGCACCTTGAAGAGAAACCAATGTACCTTGTGCATTTTATTGCGTGGGTAAGGCAATATATACATTTAACGATATCGATCCCTCCCATGAGGCCATGCAAGTTTCGTGTCCCCTGTTTGAACTTTGCCTTTCCTTGGGTGTTGTTCTTGTTATGTCGTCTCTGACTTATGGAGACCCTATGAAGGGGAATGGCCGGCAGAAACGGCCCTCCAGGAGAGCCCTGCTCAGCTCTTGCAAATTCCAGGCTGTGCCTCCCTCTGCGGTCCATGCATCTCTTATCACTTCTTTGTCATTTCTGCTCCCAGGGAAAGCTCTGGCTTGAAACGATCCAGGACCCCCTTGCTCGCCTTCTTGTCCGTCCAGGATGCTCGCAAGACCCCTCCTCCAGCGCCCTGGTTCGAGCGCACCCATTTCCTCCCTGCTAGGAGGCGGAGGTGCCTCATTCCCCCCGGCGGGCCCTGATTCTTCGGGGATCTTCCCCGCTGCACCCGCCTGGACCTCCCAAGGGGGCTGCAGCAACCGTCTCCACTCCACCTGGTCCTCCTCTCCCGTCCATCCAAAGCGCCCGCCACCCCACCCGGTTCTTCCAGGACTCATTCCCATGCAGATCGCGATCCCCGGGGGGGGGACTCCGCCCCTCCCTCGAAATGACGCCCCGCGAGGCGCTCGGACGTGCCTTGCGCGCCTTCCGCCCGGCACCCCGCCTACCCGCCCACCCCGAGGCCGCGTTTTCCTCGCCGGGCGCGCGCGCTTTCCTCGCGAGCCGCCCTCCCGTCGCGCGGCGGGGGCGGAGCCCCTTCCCTCGGCGTCAGAGCCGCGCCGCCCTCGGATTGGGCCCGAAGAAGCTTGTCCCGCGCCGCGCGCCGTCCAAGGCGGGAGCCGGCTCGCGCGCCGGGCGACTCGGCGGGGCAGCCCTGCGAGGGGCGTGGCGCGCCGCCTACTCGTCGCCTTCCTCCTTCGGGCTCCGTCGCCTCGCCGCGCCTCGCCCCGCCCGCCCGCCCGGCCTGCCTGCCTGCCTTCCTTCCTTCCTTCCGATGGCGTTCCGGCGCGTGGCGGCCGTGGCGGCGGCGGCCGCGGCGTGCGGCTTGGCGGGCGGCTCCGTGCTCTTCTCTGCCGTGCCGCTCGGGAAGCAGCCGGCGCCGCCGCCGCCGCCCGTGGACAGGGCCGGCGGGGACGTCGCCCCGTCTCCGGCGCCCCCGCCGGGGCTGCTGCTCCTGCCCTCTCCGGCCGGCTCCGGCTCCGGCCCTGGCCCGGGGCCCGGCCCCGGCGCGGCGCCCGGCTGGCTGGAGAAGCCCAGCGGCTGCGGCTACTGGGACAGCAACTGGGACAGGTGAAGCGGGGCAGCGGCGGGCGGGCTGGCGGGGTGGCCGCTTTAGGCCAGGGCTGTGCCCTGGGCGACCGGGCCGCGCGCGCCCCCAAGCGAAGGGGCGAGCCCGTGCGTGTCTCCTTTTATCCGCGATTTATACCCCGCTGCGTCCCCTTGCAAGGGACTCTTGGCGACCTCTAGGTTTGATCCTCCCAGCGACCCTAACGTGTTATACGCTGCGAGGGGTAGGATTCAGTTTATGCGCAGGATCGTGCCCTTCGTTAAAACGTGGGTGAAACAAATCAACGAAATAGACCCGAGTTGTGCAGGGCCAGATGGAAGCGCTCTTTGGGTCAGCATCCTGTATCCCTGAGCCTGTGTAGGTTGCTTATAGGGCCAGCATGACTGGAGCCGTTGCTAGACTTCAAGCATTTCTTTAACTGACGTTTAAAGCCATTTAAGCTATTGGTTATTGCAGCATATATTGATTAGATTTCTACCCTGCCTTTTTCTTTTTTAAAGAACTCAAAGTGGCTTGCATCATTCTCCCTCTGCTGCTCACAATCTTATCCCCACAACAACAGTCCTGTGAGGTAGGTAGGGCTGAGAGTCTGACTGACTTAGAGTTACCCAGTTGGCTTCATGGTTGACCCAGATCGCCTGAGTCCCGGTCCTACACTCTTAACCAGTATGCCACACTGGCTCTCACTGGTTTTCCCTTCCATCAAAATTGACCTCTTTCTTATTTTGTGGCATTGATAACATAGTTGTTTTGTGTGGTCTTCATTAGGGACCCCTGAAAATATAAAGAGCTGCCTTGTCCTGAATGAAAGTGAATGTGTCTGTTGGAATGGGTTTTAGTTTATTAAATGTATGTAACAAACAACTCCCCAGAAAAAGTATACATTGTTTTCAGATAGTGCCTGAACTTGTTGCAGTGCCTTAAAGTTCTTTAAAAGTAAAAAGAACAACCATTAAAAAAATATTTAATTCAGGTATTGCTTTTGCTTGAATTTTGATTCTTTATAATGGGTATTAGCTTATGTTGCTGTGTTGTGCAAATTATTGCAGTCTTTAAAACAGAAGTTTCAGTCTTAGAATGGACAGTGAAAACACAGCCTTGTGCAGTCTCTAAAAGCTACTAAACTGCAAAATGTTCACTAAACATGGAAGAAAGGTTTCCATCTAGAAGTCCATCTGAGTTCATATGTGCAGTTTTTCCACTTTTAGCCCACTTACTTGCCTGCATTCATTGTTGGCTGTCCTTTCTAAGTGACTTCTTAAATACTAGCCTGGGTTACACAAGCCATACACACATTTGCTCTTCTATGTGTTGTGTTAATTTGAAGTAACTTCTTCCACTTATGACCTGTTATTCCACACTGTGAGTGAGAAAGAATGCCAAACACTGTTGGTGTCTTGAAAACTGTATTTATGTCATTTCTATACTGCTCAATAACAGAAGCACTTGTTAAAAATACCATATGCCTGAGACTAAAACTTTGTTTTACCTAAGAACTCAGGTACATTTCCCCATGCTTCTGTACTTTGGGGCATTCTTCCAGTGCATTCCAGACACTTGAACATATACCCCCCCACACACTTTCTTCCTCAAATAATGCTTGAAGCAACTTGTAGTTTTGATAAACAGGATTTACTTCATTTCGCCATTGCTCTGCTACAGCTGAGATTAGTTTATCTTCACTGTACCAAGCAGTTGCAGCCGTTTCTTGTTGTTTGGTGTGTACACAAAGGGTGTAAATATGATCACTAAAGATTAATTCACAGGAAATGAATTCGTTCTCTTAATCTCCAAGGCGATTTACGTTGGCATTGAGCCAAGATTATGGATTCAACACCCATGTCACTAACAAATAATCCCTTAACAACCCATAATGATGCGTGACTTCCTGCTTAACGCACTTTGCCAGAGAACCTTGAACCCAAGGACTGGGTTGGATGCTCCATTGCTTGCTTGTTTATTTAGTGTTATATTTAGGCTGCTGCAACCTGTGCATAGTCTTAATATCAAAACGTTCCCTCATGAACTGCACTTCAGGTCTATTAAATAGTATTTCTTAAATGTTACCAGAGTTTGTCTTGTCTCTAGTTTTGATTTGACGCTTGAGAAGTCACTGCAGTTCAAATAATGATTTTGGTAGTGGCCATAAAATTTGAATTCTGTATTCCAGAGGCAGAGTTGCTCAGAGCAAAGCACAATATACCTAAGAACACAAAAGCAATGAACATTTGTTAGCACTTCTCTCTAATTGCAGAGAATTGAGCCTTGATTCCCATTTAATTCCTTCCCAGATTAATTGCACTAAATCTGAACAAAAGTCCTCATGGATTTTAATTTCATAATGGGTTGCAGATACTGCACATCATGGGTATATACTTAAATTAAGCAATAGGATTTATTTGGCTCCTTGCAGGGAACAGGCAGGATTATGATGAATAACTACCAGGCCTGTCATTTGGTGACATAGGATCAAACTTAATACTCAGTGATCCTCCATGGCACTCCATGGCGATTTCTCAACTGTAGTGGAAAGAACACCTGCTCATACCACATTTCAAATAATAATGAGGATGTAACTTAAGGGCTAGTGTTATAGTGACTAGCGTGGTGGGCTTGAACTAGAGATATCTGGGTTCAGATTTCTGAAATACAGTGTGATCTGTGCATTATGGGAAAGCTGCTCTTCCTGGCTTGAGGAGAGAACAGTGTGGTTGAGAAACAGTGAGGAAGGAGGGCTCCTTTGCAGACAAAGGATCTGGAGGCAGGAGACAAATTCAGCAGACTGGTCACAAATTGGAAGTGATCGCGCGGTGTGCAGTAGAGGCAGAAGAATTAACTTCAGTAGTGAAGACACTGACCTAGTAAACTGGAAGGCCAGGATCTTCTGGGGTGGTTGTTTCTTCAGTTCTTTCCCCCCACCACCTAGGAAAGATGGTGTCTTCGATACAACCCTAAAACAGGTGGGATTCTCACAGGACGACAACTCCCAGTTGGGGCTTGCACATTTGGTTTTGTTTTTTAAGACTTTTTATTAAGGTTTTAAATTAATACGGAAAACATCAGTCATCACATACATCGGAACTACTGGGTCAGCCCCTTACTACATATCATTTAACGTTCTGTAATCATATTCAGATCCATTTATGATAACTTGAAAACATTTTTAGATCTAAACCAAGTCCCGTTTCTCCAGCCAATAAAAAAGAGGTTCCAATTTTGATAGAAGTCACTATCTTTTTTCTCCTTCATTGGTAAAGTCAGTCCATCCATTTCTTACAAAGTCCCGTTTTTCTTGACCAATATTAAAGGAAAGAATCTCCAAATTTGATGAAAGTCAATATCTTCTTCTTCAGTGGTAACTTCAATCTAACCATTTCTACACAATTCAAGATCTTTTCATTTTTCTAATATTAAACAAACTCCTCACTGCAATAGTTACAAATAAAATCAGATACATTTCTTGTTTACTAGTATTCCAATCCAATATCTACTAAAAAGAAAAACGAAAGAGAAGAAAAGTTCCAAGTTTAAAAAAGAACTGGGGCTTGCACATTTGTAATGGTGGCTGGCCGGCACCACAGCTCCGCAAGAATAGAATAACCCCTGATGGGGTCTTGTGTTGTGTTGTGTGAAGTGGCTCAGGGTGTAATCCAGGTAACTTTTCCTTGGCCCTCCTCCTCCTTCACCTTGGGAAATATAACATGGAAGTACAACTGGTATGTGTGGGAGTGGGCAACTTGTGGCCCTCCAGATGCTTTGGTCTGCAGCCTCAATCAGCCTTGGCCAGCATGGCCAAAATACCTGGAGGGGCATAGGTTGCCCACCCCAGGGTACTGACTAAACACTGGATGCTGCAGGCCAACATGATAGATTAAGAGAGTGATAGCACTTGAGCATATAGAAGCCTGACTCCAAAGAATACTTTATTTAATTCTTATCTCCTCCCTGTATTAAATAACAAAACACTTCTGCAATTGACGGTTCGATATTACATGGGAGCATTGCCTTTGAAAGGGGAAAAGGTAAATACGCATGCTGGCAATTCCTTACTTCTCAAGCAAGGTAACTGTGAAGCACAGCCATAGAGCAGAACCTCCACGTTGTCTTAAATAATGTTTACGTGAGCTGCCAGCTTGTTTTTCCTTCAACATTTGGAGAAGAGACATCATGGAGATGTTATCCTACCACTGAGTGAATGGGGGATCCCAGGAGAGCAATCAGGATTGCTAAAACCAAAGCTGACTTTGCTGAACAGACTCTTATTAGTGAAAATGATGGCATTCAGTTCATTACTTTGCACATTTTAGATAAACTTTGAACATTCCTTTCAGGAGAGCACCACTGGCTCTTATGAACCTGAAGAAGAAAAATCAGGAGACCGGAGAAGAAGATGTCTCATCCCGTCTAGCCCCCTACAAAGCAAAAGCTACCAGGCACATTTTCCTTATACGCCATTCCCAGTACAACACAGATGGGCGACATGATAAAGACAGAAATCTGACACAGCTGGGTATGTATGGTTGGCACTCCACTAGAAAGAGTAATAGAAACAGAAACGGAGCGAGCCAGAAGGGGTCTCCCGGGCCATCTAGTCTGACCTCCGGCACCAGCCGGCAATGGTGGGGAAGTCCTTGTTGTGGTTATAAAATTTAGTTCTATATCCCATGTGACACAAAGGGTGAATGCATTACGTATTGCTGACAAGAATCTGTATATTTATTCGATTTATTTTCTTCTTTTTTCTTACGAAGAACTAAAAGTGGCTTACATCATTCTCCTCCTGTTCTTAGTCTTATCCCCACAATAACCAGTCTGGGAGGTAGGTTGGGCTGAGAGCCAGAGTCGCCCAGTTGGCTCCATGGCTGAGCGGGGACTAGAACCCAGATCGCCCGAGTCCCAGTCCCACACTCTTAACCACGACAGCACACTGGCTTTTTACTCTGTCTTACACGTGCTGCTCATTATAGCCTGTGTGCTAACTGCAGGCACAAGTTACTAATATTGCATATGCTATAAATTAATATATACTAGCAAGTAGCTAGGGCTTTTACCACTGAAAGAAATCCTAGTTCAGTCAGACATAACTTTTAGTCAGTTAATTAAATCAGTTTTAAGTTTTAGAAGATGCATGTGTGTCTGAGAGCGTTTCGTTAGAAGAGGTGTCTCCTGAGTGCAGAGAGGATAATGGGGCAATTCTCAAAACAGCCCAGTGGGGACTGGGTGTGTTGATGGACTGAGGGCAGTACAGGGCGTGTGGGGCAGAGTTCAGTGGGGTATGCTGGAAAAGGACATCGCTGGCTGGACGTCCTTCAGAATGCAAACTTTCCCTATAGATTCCACTTGTCCTGCCTGTTAATTAAAGTTAGGTCCTCATGCTTCCTCTCAGAGGATGAGCCTTGCCCTTCTTATAGTGCATCTTATTCCACCACCCTCAGCCTTCTGAAGATCTCGTGCTTCCCTCCAAGGAAGCATTGCCATCCCTGCCCAGCATGCACTGACGTGGCTCCCAGAATAACTGTGCACTGCTATCCCCTCTTGTGCGTTGCCCTCCACAAGCTTCAGCCCACCATTCCTGTCAGCCCTAGGCAGCATAACTGATGGTGATGGGGCGTGGAAGTTGCAGGTCTGAACATCAAGACAGCCTGGAGTTGCCCACCCTTTCCTCCTGCTGTAACTGAAGTGTACTCTTTCCTTGACTATACTTTTCTGTGTTTCCTTCGGGTGGAATGTTAGATTGTAAGCTTGAGGCAGGAATTGCCTTTGTAAAACTGTGAAGAGCTGGGCAGAAATGGCATAATAAATAAAAAGAAGTCCTACAAATTCTGAGATCTTCCTTCTTATTAAGAGAATCTGCTTAGAGATGATTGTTAGTACATTCTTCAGCAAAAGAAATGTTTGTGAGCATAAACATTGGGTGAGGAAGCAATTCCCTGTTTGGAAACTCAGCACATTTCAAGCGAGGACAACACAGGTATACACAGTGAAGAAGGCCATTTTCTCTGTGTATGGAAAAGAGACCCACAGCCACATTCTCAATGTACACATTTTTTTTTTCAGGCCGTGAACAAGCGGAGTTGACAGGGAAAAGACTTGCAAGCTTGGGACTAAAATTTGATAAAATTGTGCATTCTTCTATGACCAGAGCAACTGAAACAACCAACATCATCAGCAAACATCTCCCTGGTGAGTGAATTCTATGTAATACTCTATTTAATTTATAGAATTCTTATTAGATAGGATTTCTGTGGTACATAGAAAACCTTTAAAGGAGATTTTCAAGCATGCTTATAACCTTGGGGGGCAGTGTGTTAATTCATCACAGGCAACCATCCATCCATGAATGGAAGACTTTCTTGCATTCAGACCTAATCTTCAGGGATATTAAGTGTGCTTCAGTATTTTAAAAAAATCAGCTAAAATAATACCTTATACTTGAACTGGGGAACAACTAGGTTTTCTTATCATTTTATTAATAAAACAGTGGATGGGGTGGCCATCCTCAACGTGGTGGCTCCTGTAATTTTAACCAGTCGGCTAGCTTCAGAATCCTTCTGCAGCTCCTTTCTATCATTTCCTTCTGGAGGGGAAGAGAACAGAACTAGGGCTGTGGCATCAACTGTCAAACCAAAAAAGTCTGCCATAAACAACTCTGGATATTTCTTCCTTGTGAGCCACTTTGAGATCCGATCTTTACTGAAAAGTACACCTATGTTTAGGAGAAGGAACCTTGTCAGTTGCAAATTATCTTATTTTCTCCCTCATCATGTCAGAGGCATAAGAATATTTCTTATGGAGGAATGCTCTTTCCATCACTCACGAAACCCATTCAGGAAAACTGGTCTTCAGCAGAGGTTTATCAGATCAGTCAGCTATTACTTCTGAGATAGGAGGCTTTTTAAGCCTTTGCAGTACTGTTAGATTATAAGTGTAGTAGGTAAGTGCGGCTTGCATCAGAATCCTGTTGCCCCATGCTTTCTGTTTTTTTCCTCTCCCAACAGCAGTGATGCAGTGGAGGGAGGCCTGTGGAGCAGCCCAGCTCCAGGGTTTTTTTTTTTTAATTGCTAGAGCATCAAGGGTACTTGGCCAAACCTCCTTGCTCTGAGCGAATGAGGTAGCAGATAAGCATAGAGGAAATCAGAGGAGGAGGGAAATTACTGAAAGGCTAAGCACTTCTATTATTATTATTATTATTATTATTATTATTATTATTATTATTATTATTATAACATTTCTATGCCGCCCCTTGCCGAAACCTCGGGGCGGCTTACAACATGATTACTGTTCTTCATTGGGTTATGACATCATGCCCACAATTAAATGGCAATGTTGTTTTGCAAGAGTGTTCACATTTCTAATTAAAGGCTAAGGGTTACATTTAAGCTGATTGAACTAGACCCCTTGTTAAACTGCAGTATGTTTTTCCAGCTGCATGGAACTTACTCCAGAAAAGGTGCTGCTAGTTGTTCTGCTCTTCCTTGTTACTCAGAACTTGGGATGACGATGTCCGCAATCATAAGGACAATTTGTACGGTGGTTTGATGATGCTGGTTTGTTGAAGCGATTTATAATAGTAAAAATACTTGCCATACCTGCCTGTATCTTACAGAGGAGGGCTGGGTATGAGGACTCCTTCTCTGGACCTCCTCTGCCTTGTTGATAGTTTGCTTGGAATACAGGTTCCAAATGCAGGACTTCTAAACCTTGTATTTGTACACCTGCCACTAACAAATGTTGCCAGGCAATTAACAATGGATACATTAAGAAGCGATGCAAGGTAAACTTAAACCAAAATAAAACCCATCAGCATAAAATCAGTAGAGCAGGAATCATTAGCACAGTATCCTAAAGGTAACAATTAATGAAGATTTTAGACTTGAGAGTCTTGGAAATATAAAAGTGTCTCCAGGTGCTGAAAAGATCTCAATGGAACTGGACTCCACACAACGTATTGCTGTAATCTAAACCCAGAGCCTGTAGAAACGTAGCAAGGCTGGTTAGAGTTGCAAGCTTTGTTTTCCTCTGCTAGATAAATAAAATGTTCAGCAACAGAACCCAAGAGATTTCAACACTGTTTAGGAATGTGTTGGTCAAATAGTCCATACTGGGCTTTTTGCTTACCTTATCCCAGTGCTAGAGATGACACACATACCTTGTACCAGATGGAGGGTGCATGCTAGCGCAAACTGCCCTGATCCCATGCTATTTTCCTTTGTTTGTACCAGTTCAGTCGAGTTTGCAGTGGCAATCAAGCTCACAATCGGTTGAAGCCACATCTTAAGTGCCGCATTAAATGATCCCTGAACCTATACATATAGTTCCCTCTGTAGCAAGGAGATAAACAAGGAGTATCTGTCAGAAAGGCCTTCTTAGCTGATGTTTTGCAATTCTGCTGAACTCCAAACCTTGGAAAAGGGAGACAGCCTTGTCTTGAATAGCGATCACAATGAGGTTACGATAATGAATTGGAAGATTAGGAATTCTGTTCGGCTAGGCTTGTGGGCTTTCAGGAATAAATAGCAGCTGGTGGTTGAAGAGCAGGACTGAGAGGAAGGAGGGCAAATACCATACTGTTACCCAAGAAGTTATTTTAACAAAGATTTAAGAGTTCCAGGGAGCAGGGAAGGTGTCAGAAGCCTGTGGGGGAGAAAAAGGGAAAAGGAATAACAGGCTGCAAAGAAGAGAGAGGAGACCAGCATGGCTATTATCCAGTACAGTGTAGGTCAGAAGGACCTGGGTTGGAGGAAGAGTGAGAGCCAATTTTAAGGAGTCAAGGAGAGAAGCTGTACAAGAGATAGGAGGAGTTTTTCCCCCTAGGATGGGGAAGATCTCTCAACTTTGGAAGAGGGAGGGAGGGAGAAGAGATGAGTGGAGATTAGGATGTAGAACTTGGGATAGAAAGTGAGTCAATTCGTGGCTTGCAAGGTGAGAGAGAGCACTTAGAAGTGAGTTGGAAGCTGGTGAAGTAGGAACAGATTAAAGCTACCAAAATCTAGGGGTGGTTGGACTGTGACTTGAAGAGCGGCTGCTGTAACTGGAGACAAAATCCGAGGAGTGACCATCAGGATCCCGATAAAACGGATAGATGCTGAGGCCTGTGAAAGGAATCTTCATGGAGTGATGTAGGAATGTTTGTATGTTGTTGGGCTTTGAAATACATGTGTCTCTCCCTCCACCAGGGGTCAAGAAACAGAGCACTGATTTGCTGTGTGAGGGAGCGCCAATTGAACCAAATCCTCCTAGCGCTCACTGGAAACCAGAAGCTGTGGTAATAACCTTGTACAGGCCATTTCCTGAATATTACAGTCACCGTGTTTACTTAAAGCTATTTAGACCAGTTCTTTGGGGGGGGGGGGGGGCAGTGCATGCATGCACAGACATACCAAGCCACCCAGCATATATTCATATTAGTTACTCCACCTCTCCTCATGCTCTCCTTGGCAGTGTAGTAGCTTTTTCATCATGCTGTTGGCATATAAAGCTTAACAGTTACCCTTCTGTTTATGAAAATGAAGTAATGTACAGTAAAATCTTCCTGATTTATTCATTTCATTTCCGTACCAAAGCGCTCTGGGCAGCTTGCAAATAGCTTGACCTAAGGCAAAAAACAAAAACCAGCAACTGTGAAATGTCAAGGGAAAACAGGCTCATAATGATGAATAAATGCCATGTTGAATAAGAACATCTTCAGCCAACGACAAAAAAGAATTGGCACCAACTCTATTCCCTAGAATTCTGAAGGAGCCACAACAGGAACGGTGCTCTAATAGTTCAGAGAACTCAGAGCAAAGCTTTGCTTAATCATCTCTTGTAGCTGTCCCCAGCTTTGTGCCTTCTGGACACGTTTGAACTGCTATACCCAAAATTCCTAGTCAGTGGCCCTGCTGGATGGGATTTCTGGGAGTTGTGCTCCAAATGCCTCTCAAGGTCACCAGCTTGGGGAAAGCTGATCTAGTGGAAGAGAAATCTTCGAAGTCTTTGTGGTGTTATTGATTACAGTTTTCAGGTAACTGAAGCACTTCAGCCAGCCGGGTGGGGAAACTTGCTAAAAGGTTGGCTTTTTCCTTAGGCTAGATTTTTGCTTAGGCTTTGGAGCTATGTAAACAGACAGGACCCAGGCTGTTAAAAGTAAGACTCTATCTTGAAATGGGCCTAGAAAGTATAATTTCTGTGCAGTTGAGACTTGTCCGTAGGTGCATCTTTTTGTTCTCTAATAGCTGATGCTTTTGAAGACCCTCGTATAGAATGCATGGCAGCCATCCAAACAGGACGTTACGAATGTATGAATGGCGTGCTCTAATTCTTGATGAGAAAGGAGCCTTTTCTGCAGCTGCCTGATTATGATGTGAAGACGAAAAGCTTGGGTGGACTTGTAATATTTATGTCAATAACAAATTATCCGCTTCCAGCAGTATTATGAAGATGGGGCTCGTATCGAAGCTGCCTTCCGAAACTATATTCATAGGGCTGATGTGAAGCAAGAAGAAGATAGCTATGAAATCTTTGTTTGCCATGCCAATGTTATTCGCTACATAGTTTGCAGGTAAGCATGGCACTGGGGACCCCTCTGGCGGGGGCCGGGGGGGGGGATTGCCAGAAGCGTGGCGCTTTACTTGGGCTAGCGCATTGCGTTGTCCTTTACGCTGAGGGGCCTTGGCAGTTCTGAGGTATTTGAGGAGGACTCATGCCCATTAGAATGAGCTGTACACAGACTACGGTTTTTGGATTAAGTTGAAGCTTTGCTGTAATCCCTGCTTTTGAGTAAGGGACTTCAGTTCTAGATGTATTGTTTACAAATAGAGAGAGAAGTGGAGGAGAGAGCGGGGTGGGGGGTAGTTTATTGCAATACTTGGAAGACTTCACACGTCTTTTGCCAGTATTTCTAAGTTATTGCTGAGCTAGTTGCCAGTGCCGTAAAACTGAAAACTGGGCAGCAGATTTGTTCCTTTCTAGCTCATGAACTGGCTTTCACTTGAACTGGCATCCTCACATGCACTAGCCTAGCCATGCTTTCTATGTTTCCAGTAAAGTGGGTTTTCGGTTAGGTGCAGGCGTCTGCTTGTATTCATATAAACATGAGTGGACAATCCCCCTCCTTAAGACCTTGCTGCTCAGGGAGGCAAGGTTTCAAACAGGGGTGGTGTGGGCAGTGGGGCAGGGCTTGCATTGTGTGTCCCCCCCCCCCTTTCTCTGGCCCATATGAACACCTTCAAAGCCATGCAGTCTTAACATGTCTGTCCTGGAAGCTCAAACGGCAACAAAGGGAATGGTGTCATTCTAGCAACGTATGCATGCAAGCTTAAAGGGTTCAGAAGTTCCACTGTGTTTTCATATGAAAGTAGTTTACAGTGAAGCTTAAAAATTCCTGTGGGCCAAGCATGCAAACCAGTCATTAAAGTGATAGAATATTGGCAGTACAGTCAAGTGTCTATGGGATTGCAGCCTAGTTTGTTTAGATAGTTGCATTAAGAGGGGAGCATAGGCTGGGACATCTGGTGGCAGTCACTAACACGGGCCACACGTCACAATCCTTCTGAGCTGCACCGCTTCTGTCCCGAGTCAAACGCACCCATCTGTCTCTGTTAGTAGCGAGCAAGGAACATATTGCAGTAATCCCATCGGGGGGTTATGATTGCGTGAATAACTGTTGCAAGACTATGTCTGTCCAAATAGGAGGGAGTCATAATCAGTGTTCCAGCCTAAGCTGATAAAAGGTTATCCAAGCCACTCTGTCTGAGGGCGTCCCTAAACTGCAAACTCTACAAATTCTCATTCTTTGGGGCGGGGGGGGGGGGGGGGGGGGGGGGGGGTGGATGGGTAGCGTCCCTTCCAGACAAGGTAGAATTCCACACAGCTGGGCTGATGAGCCGTCTGTTTATCTGGCTTGGGTCTTTTTGGAGGGACTGTAGCTCTGAGGCAGAGTTCCTGGTCTCTCCATTTAGCCCTAGCAGAGGACCTCACCTGAAACCCTGCAAAGCCTTGGGACTTTCTCTGTTCCAGAGACATCCTGCATTTTGGGGGTTTTTAAACACATATTTAGACACAGCCTATTGGCTGCTGGTCTGCTTTATTAGCCAGCTTGGCAACATCTGTATTTTCCCTTTAAAAACCTTTAAAAAACAAAACGGAAATGTGTGTTAGTCTTACACCATGTATTATTAAATGGGTGTGTAAATGGGAGCGTAGGAGCTGTGGACCCCACTATGCACGTACGTGCAATTGGCATTGTGCGAAAATGAAATCATATTGCATTATATTGAGCTAGTAATAGGCATAATATACCAGTGGACACTTCCCCATGGCACTTTTGAATTGAAAAGACTATAGAAACCTCTTACCTGGAAATATATGTTAAATCTCTTGATTGGAGCTGAAACGTCTGTTAATAATTACTCTACTTGCAGTTTTTAAACTCTAGAGAGATGGAAGCCCTTGAGATTCTACTGCAGAGTAACACACGCCTAGGAAGAGATTCCAGTCTAGCTTTCACCCACCTCTGATATGCGTATTGCAATTGATACGCAAAGAAGTGTGATGGTGAGTGAACCGAATTTGTACCATTTGGCCCCAAATACTGAAGCGACTGCTTTCTCTCTCTCTCTCTCTTGCAGAGCGTTGCAGTTTCCTCCCGAAGGCTGGCTGAGGATCACCCTCAACAATGGCAGCATCACCCTCTTGGTGATCCGTCCCAGTGGCAGGGTGGCGCTTCGAATGCTTGGCGACACGGGATTCATGCCTCCCGAGAAAATCACGCACTGAGCGAGCCTTTCCGAAGCTGCTCAGTAGACTCTCTGCACCGGTGCAGCTCGGGTAGGATATTGTGTATTCAGCAAATGCCTACTTTCCCCACAGCCCTGCTTCGTCTCTGTGTAAAGAGGACTGTTTAGCTTAGGGAGACTGCAGCTGTCCCGGTCGGGGCCACTGCCACGTTCCACCAAGCACTGCTGCCGCAGACCCTGCTCAGGTGGCAGCTGTGCTGGGCTTTCCTGGGTTTCCCCTGTCGCAACTGAGTGGAGACCATGCAGCAGTACTTAATGGAATGAAGAACCTAAAGTGAGAATCCCCTATGAAGCTTAAGGGTTTCTGAGCAGAGAAAAGAAAGCACTGTGAGCTTATGAAGGCATTTTTTTTTTGGTCAATAATCAAGATACTCATTTTGGTGCCTAACTGAATGCTGCAGTTGGATGAAAAGTAATAGTTTCAACAGCTGCTTGATGGCTGAGCTTCAGAGGGAGCTGTTGCCTTCTGATGCATGTCATATGGCAGGTCTACATATAGCAAAGGATGGGAAGTGAAAAGTGAGAATGAGAGATAGGTAGCATTGAAGACAGAACATCTTACGGAGGTGCATCTAAGGTGAAGAGACCCTCCCTTAAAAGAAACAGAACTACTGTTGCTCTTCTTTCCTTCAGTCCTGTCCATGTATTTGGTCTCTTCTACAAGTGATGTTTTGTCACTAACTTTATAAGCAGTCTTTTTCAGTAGTACAAAAAAGTAGTTCAGTAGTACAGCAAAGTAGACCCTTCTATCGCTTCTGTTATGAGCAGTTTTTACAGCTGACTCTTTGTCACTTGTCGCCACTTCTGTTGGGGCAAAGGCCATCTAGGGACACTCAGGTGCTAAATGAAATCAACTTAAAAGTGAGCCCTGTCCTTCCCATCCCTGAGCATAGCCTGTGCTATATCTTCAGCATCCTGGTTTGTAAGACGTCACACACCAAAATGTTCTTGGAATCAAATCCTTGGCAGGTAGCTACAACTTCAGAGCAGATGCAGTGCATCCTATGAAACTCTATGACCAACCATTGTATGGTTGGAAGCAAGTGGTCCAGAAAGAGTGAGCATAGCATGGAGACGGTATTTGTTAAAAGGGTAGTGCTCTGTGTTTTTAGCAGTGCAGGGAATTAAATTATTAAGTGTCTCTGGAAAAAAAAAATAAAGTTTTATGGCCTTTCACACGAGATGTCATTGAAATTACTCTATTGAATATGCATTTAGCATCCATACAGTGTTTTTGTTTGGTTGCTGCAGGTATAAACTTGCCCATTCTTTGGGTGTGAAATTCAGCAGAGCCGGCAGAGTAGCATGGGTTCTCTCATCTCAGGACCATCATAAAGTTTCTACCTAATTGTTGCTGACAGTGGAGCACTTCAGCCTAACCCTTCCCAGTTCCCAATTAAGAATTATTTCTACCTGTCACCCTGAAAATTGACGTTCTAGGGAAGGCTCATGTTTCATGGTAGGCATTTGAAGTTCATCGTCAGAGCCCGGGAATAAGTGACAGTGGGCTGACAGGAATTGTAGGAACGCACACCACGCGTGAGCTGCTTCCTGACTAACAGCCCTTCAGCGCCACATTCAAATATCTCTGATGCCCGAGCAGGAGCACCAGGATTCCTTTGCGGTCTGGCTTAACTCGTGGCTTGTCCCCGAATGTTATGTCTGAACAGACTGTTTTACACAAACAGCGTAATTTGATGTCTGAGTCTAACCTTTAAAATGCCCTAAGGTGATTTAAAAATAAGTAAGTAAAGCAGTAACGCTGGTTTGTAGGGGCCTCTCAGCGTGCTGTTTGGAGGAAGTGTGGTTATTGTTTTTCATACTTTCTGCAGACGGCTGTGACATGTTCATTGGCACAGGTGTTCCCCTCCGGCGATTGCTTGTGCAACGCATTGGGCGCAAATCAGAAAACGAATGGAGCAGCACGCTTAAATAAACCAATTTAATAAGATTGTTAAAAATTCACTTGAACACATTGACAAAAGACTCAAATGTGAATTCTAGACATTAATATATTTACTAACACCAACCCTTTAACTCTCTCTCCCCCATCACAAGACAAGTGTTAAACTGAGAATTTGTGCTCCAGAAACACTTAAATACAGAAAGCACATTGCAAGAATATTAAAGCAGAGGAAATGCTGTAACAAAACACTGTTAACAAATATCTTGTTGTTTAAAAAAGAGATCTGCAGGGGCTATGCAAGAATGCGCTTTCTATGCATGGTGGAACACTTTGCACAAGAGAGGCTGTTGCTATGTGAACAGAACAGCGTATCTGCAAGTTTAAGAAAATTAGTGCTAAGGTCATTTTTTTCAGTATGCGTCTAAGGCTTTGTGCCTCTAAAGCTACAAGGCATATGGTGTGTGTAGTGCTTTTAGGCAGGCGGCAATGTTGGTGTGGTTTTTCTCAATACAACATGATGAGGGTTTCACAGGTACTGATTTCTAGCTTTGGGAAATCATCTCACTCCAGTCCCAGTTATTTGGGTCACTAAGAGAAGCCAGCTTCAGTGTGCTGATTCAGTGTGAACAGCCCTCAGCTACTTTTTCTGGAGTTACTGGAAAACAATATAGATGAAAAATCTGAAGATGGATCTCAAAAGGGAGCAGCACTCAAGAAGAGCTGCTTCTGTCTAATTCCATTAAATCAACCTGGGAGGAAAGAGCCATCCTAACCAGGATTACTTATTTGTAGCTTGGCCACCTACAGTAAATAAAGGAAGTAATAAATGGACATTTGTAGCATCTTTTTACTATAAAGAAACTTCATTCAAAAGGGTTGGGAATTTAAAATGTAATTAGTGCTTCTAGAAGGGAACAGCACCGGTTAAAAGCAAGCTCAAGAAGACCTAAACATAAAAATGTTATAAAAGGCACTAATAAAATTGGAAGATTCTTAAGTGTAGTTCTGGAGTTTTGTACCAAAACATCAAAAACGCAGGAACGGTATATAAAATGCTCGTTACCATTTGGTGTAAAGAAGTCACCAAAGCAGCTACAGAGGCTGTGATTATTTCAAGTTGGTGTAATACATCTCTCTCTGTTCTCGTCGCACTCTGATGAAAAGTACCATTTGCCGCATGATACATAAGCCCAGTTACAATGATTGACTTTCCTACTTTCTAAATGATAATCTCCAATATACATATAAGGATGTATATTACGTGCAGTAGACAAATAGGTACCAAAAATACTTGCAGTGAACATAACCATTAAGAATGTAGACTTGGTCAAGCTGGAATGGTTTATTCTAAAATGTAGGACCTGCACCTGCCAAAATAAGAAACTCTCGTGCTATAGTGGAACTCTTGTTATCTACACATTTCAAATACGAGATTAGCCTTGTGATTATTTGTTCCCATGCTGTAACATAGAGAACCAAACCGGTAAAGAAAAAGCCAGTGGTAACTTTGTTGTTGCTAATGTGCTTTTTGTGTAAGAACTGAGAATCGTTCATTTTTATGATTAGCTTTTCTTAACTAGCTTGTCTTAAGCAGAGGACATGACTGGCTTGCTTGCCGTATCTCTTTCAGCTAGAGCTTAATGAAGTAGTAACCCACATGCACTTGGAAACACAGCAGCTCTTTTCCACTTATCTCTATTGGAAGACTGGTATGACAAACTTGCTGCTTCAGTTCCTTTTAGCCTACAATTGCTACAGTAAAGAGAGAGAAGCACTCTGAGGGCAGAGAAGGCGTTGATGAAGCTGTCCAATACAGGTCATGTCTATCTACAATCCATTTAGAAAGGTTTTAGGTTTCCTGCTCAGGGTACTCAACACATAACTGTCACTAATCTACTTCTCACCAATTCTCTCGTAAATCAAATGAAAGGGTTCTCTGCAAGCAGCCCCCGTTTCCAAGAAGAATAAATAAAAGGGCCAGGGACACACCCTGCCAGTGCAGCCGCACCCTATTTTTTCCTTCGCTTCAATACTTAACTGCAATTCTAGAGAGTCACATTCTAATGAGTGGACGGTCCTGAGAAGTGATGCCATTTGGAGAGCAGCATGTGGTTGACGTAGGCAGGGGTGTACCGCCCAGGGCTCCCAAAATCTGAAGAGAAGCCGGCAGCAGCTGTGTTGTACTTCATGGGACTGCTCTTCCCTGGGCTACAGTTGGCTAGACCACTGGATGGGCTTGAAGGAGTCTGTGACTTGAATCTTCCTTTCAGCGATGGGCTTGACCAGCTGGAACAACAGGAAACAGTATTTATGTATTGCAAAGGTGTAAAAAGATGGAGAAACCGATTTGCTACAAGAACTCCTATGCCAAGTGGATGATAATGCTCAGTAGAGCAGTAGAGTTAAATGGAAGCACTACTGCTACATATCTTGGTGGATGCTATTTGTAACTAAATTAGCCACTGGCTTTTGTTTAGTTCATGTTATTTCTAAGATATCATACTTAAAACCCAACCAGAACAAAGATTAAGCTGCACAGGTTTTAGTGTTAGGAAAAACTGAATCTCACTCATCTCCCTGGATGAACTCCACTTTCTAACATTCAGCACAATCTAGCACTTTTTTGTGTTTTGCACTTGCTGGGGGAAACTCGGAGCCAAAACAAGCTCTGGTCTCTAGTTTCAAGGCAGGGGCACACAGGTAAACGTCTGTGTTTCTGCATGCTCGGCCAACTTCCCCCCTCCTTGAGCGTAGATCTGTGGTTGGGTATCATTGGCCAGAAACCCCATTCTCTGGTTCAGTCTTACAGCTAGAGAAAGATGCAGGTAATTGTCCAAGGGAAAATTAGCCCCTGAATGTAAGGACCTAACTTTGATTGCCCCTGTCTTCTACAGAGGTAGGAATTAACCCATTAAACTTCCCCCCTGACCAAAAACTGCTCAATTACCACTAAACTATGGATTAGAAACTCTGTTAGTGATGCTCGGGTATCATAGAGCATCATCATTAATACAGATAGCCAATGGATAGCCTTTTCCAAATCCTAGATGAACAAGCATGCTCCACATAACAGCTTTTCACAAACAGTACTTGCTAGGCTACAAATAGGGCCTGTCTGGTGGGAAAGGGCCATGTGTGGGAAAGCTATTTAGGCAAAAACACTGGCCCAGCTCTTTCCTAAACAACCTTGCTCTCTGCCACACTGTGAATTGTACAGCTCAGATAAGTACACCATGAGTACATCCAGCTAACTAGAAGACTTAAAAGGCTTCACTTGCATTGGAATATACCTTTGTCGTTGAGAACATGAGTAGGACTGTATGGACTTGTTCCACTTGTAAATAGCTGGATATTTTTGTGGGTCAATTTCTACCCCATGTAATGCAATTAACACGTCATTGTCCAACTTTGAAGGTTGCTCCCTAGACAAAGAAAGAGAGCTGGATTATAGGAAGAACAGTGCCCGTACTGGCTCACTCCCACAATTCCCAGTGGAAATTACAACATTTTAAAATATGCCTGTCTGCATAAAAATAGAGCTACTGCTGGAAACTCAACATTCAAGGGCTGATTAATAAAATTAGTCTCTCTACTGTGTGAGCCACTCATGGGTACAAACAGTTGGATTACAACTGTCCCCCAAACAGAACTACTACTCTTAAGCCTGAACACACTGAACAGTTGTGTTCTTTTACATACATGCGTCACTTCCACACGCCTCAATAAGGGCTCTTCGGAAGATTAGAATGCAGCATGCAGACAAAAGATCTCCAGTGACTTGGAGCTAAATTTATACACAAAAGTACTTGTCTCTGCTCAACAGACAAATGAGTCTATGAATCACATTCAGAGAAGAGTAGCGAAATGCAAGCCGGGAAGTAGGAGCGCTCTGTGGTGCTTGGTTCAGCCATCACTGGCTGCAGCAGGCATCAAAAGATACCTGCAAACGTATCACAACGTGACCAGAGTAGAACCCTCCCTGTCCAAACCTGCTCATGATGGTTAAGAGTTCCACCCCTAAAGGCTTAGAAATGTTTTAGATTAAGACACAGGAAAATAAATAAAACTGACTTAGAAGGCTGAATGCTACCCTAATCCCACGTAATTGTCCCAAAATGAGCAGAGATATGGCCCATGACCTAAACCTTGATGAAAATGAGTTTTAAACAGTGCCCTTTACTGCTTCCAAAGAAAGAAACATTACACACATGTTTCTATACAGATATCAATGCCACTTAGAAAAGTTACATCCACATCACATGGATGGGTTAGATATATGTGTCAGGTAACTCAAACATGAACTCGGAAAAAAAAAGTTTCCACTGTAGAATAGACAAAACAGGTCAGTTTCTTAAACTACAAGCAATTTCGTACCCTAAGATAAAGAGATGCTTGGCTTTCTCATTTGAGGATTGGGTCTTTAGTGTGGACAATTCAGGATGCAGTTCAGAATTGCAAGACTGCTCTGTCTCCCCATCCCAAATGCCGGTTCCTGCTGATTGGGTCCCCCCATCTAGTTGTGGTTTTCCTTCTGTCCTTATTTTTTTATCTTCAGTCTTTCCAGAATTCGCGCCTCCCTTAGGAAGCGGCAAGCATGTCTTAGTCAGATGATCCATGCATTTTCTAAGCTGCCTCGTACTTTCCGCCTGCCCGCTCTCAGACTTGCTTTTTGTGGCAGTTGGGCTCGGTGGCACTGTCTGACTGGGAAAGGACAGTTTCTCAAATTCTTCCATTAAATTGGTGACCGAAGACTGAAGGCACTCTTCTCCTTGGCTCGGATGCCTCCTATGAGAACTTATTGTCCTATCGCTGGTCTCAGAGCTACAAAATCCATTTTTACTAGCAGCGGCGCCTTTCTCTGAGTGCCGGCTGGGGGCTTCAGCAGCTTGCATTATGCTGTCAGTCCTTCCAATGGTTAGGATGTCGCACTCTGAGCTTCCAATGTCACTGATGGTTGGTTCAATTGCTGCCATTGCTCGATTATAATTTCTGGCAGCATTCTGCCTGTTTTTCACTTCTTCTAGACTCATATCATCCTCCTCAAGAAATGCTCCCACAGAGATGGAATTGCAACTTTTTTTACTTTTGCCTGTAAGAGAAGAAAAAGAATGTTGACATCTGACATTCCACCTGACTGACTCATCAGTTTTCATAACCTTCCCTTTTGTTTGAAGGGCCTCAAAAGCCTGATATAAGCACACCATGCTAAGAGTCATTGGCGTTGCACTGCAATGCAAAAGGGATACTCCATTAAGATCAGAAATTAATGCTTCTTTCTGCTGGTTGTAGATTGTCAACTGTCGGCCCATAGCCAATAAACCCAACTTGGGCACAAGCGTCCTCTCTGGCTTAGAACATCTTTTGCCAGCTTATGGGAGTATCCAGCTCCAGCCCTACAGTGACAGCCTGGCCCATGCCCTTGCAAGCTCCATACTGGGTTACTACAATGTATTGCATGCAGGACTGCCTTTAAAGACAGTCTGGAAACAGTCCCATGCAGAGTGTTGTAATCCAAGTACATTTTATTTATTTAAAACATTTCTATGCCGCCCCCATCACAACAAAGCCTCAGGGCGGCTCACAAAGAATATATATATACATATAAATAATGATAATATAACAATAAAAAAATGTTTTAAAACCCCTGGTGCATTCTTGGCTAAAAATTTTAAAATCCGAATTAATTCAATAATTTAACAATTAAAATAAGTTTTAAATAAAAAGGTCTTAGCCTGGCGCCGAAAAACAAATAACGACGGCGCCAGGCGGACCTCTCTGGGGAATAGTCCAAGTGGGATGCTACTATTGGAATACACGCACAACCACAGGTCTCTCAGACACCAACTTATGAGGAGAGGCCCACCCCCTCCAAAGCATGACATCATAATTTATGCACAATAATTGCAAGCTAGCAGCCACACTCCAAACTCAGATTTCTTGTTTTAGCTGGCCATTTCAACACAAAATATTTTGGGAACTGCAGAGTCTGGAAAAATCACTCTTTCCAATACTAAACACCATCATTTTCCATTGTTAACTTTAAAATACATTTTGCTTTTACCTGAAAGCTGTGGGGATTTGTATCTGTTGTGTGTTTCATTCTCCCCTGTTTCTTGTTGAACCTTATCGCTAATTTCTTGTTGACTCAGGTATTCTTCTAGCTTTTGTAACCCCTCCTGGGAAGACAGATCAACAAAACAGCCCAGAAATTCCCAGTATTCTACCCACGGGAACCCCTGTTCATGAGCTAACTCCCTGTAATAAATAAGATAGAACGAATCATTTGTGAAGATATTAAATAGTTTGACAACAAGTTTACCAAAACATGTTTTCAATCAGCCAACCCCAAGACTGTGTACAACAAGTGCAAACATTATTTTAACTGAATTATGCAACATACACATAATTAGTTATAATTCTCACATATAAAATGATCTAGTTGAACTGCCAGTTTGTGTTTTACTATCAAAGCACATGAGCATCAAGTAGTGGTGGTGGGGAACAAATAGTAAAACCTATACTGTTTAACCCAGGAAATGCTATTTCTGCCCAACTACAGCTTTAAGGAAAATTAAATGCCTTAGGACATGAAATACATTTTAATATGAAAATAATGTAATTGAATGAGAAGACAAAATAGTGAAAGATCCTTCCAGAAACTGTTCCCTGGTTTACTAGTCCTGCTACTACTTTTATGACATATTCGGCGTTTTATATCTGTACAATGTACAATTAGGGCCAGGTGACAGTGAGAATGCAAAGAGCTGAAGGCAATGGCAGTCTGACCACGGCTGTGTGTGTGTGTGTATGTGTGTCCAAACATGGGAATGACACAGCAGAAGGCAAATAGGAAAAGCACAGGAGGTGGTTAGACACAGGAAAAGTGACTTAATTCCTAGCTGGCGAATAGTGTGACATAGATGTGAAAAGGGGTGTCTGTGTAAACTCTTGATAAAAGGAGGTAATTTTAGCAAAGTGATTTCTGCAGTGAAAAGGATGAGGAGGTTATAGTAGAAGAGATGTGCCCACAGCACAGTAGATACAAGCTAGGTTGCACAACCAGTGTAAGAGAGAAAACTCGCACTGCAGAATTCAGCATTCTAAGAACCTCGACATTCTTTTTCACGATGCTGAAGAGGCACAAATCAGCTTTTCTTGATGCAGCATTTCAGTTTTAGCATGGAGTTCACACAATCCTGCATGTATGCAATGATCGGAACATGGGCCAGCAATTTTAAGTGAGAGAGAGAGGTAGATTTTGGAATTGCAAGGGAGGGATAGAATTAGAAGTTTTGCCTTTGCAGTATTCTTGACTGCAAACCTTAAAGGTAGGGAAACCTGTGATATGCCAGAGATGGCTGGATTACAACTCCCGTCAGCCCCAGCCAGCATGGCTAACAGTCAGGGATAACAGTTGTAGTCCAACAAGTAGCTGGATCCAGGGTCTTCCTTTCAGTGTTAGAATGGTTCCACTTATGGAATGGGCTGCCACTCCATTCTGAGAGATGTACTCACAGAAAGACAATTTAGGGGGAACTGGCCGCTCCCTTGGAAACTCCCTATAGCATATCATTCACAAGTACTGCTTAAACAGAACACATTTCTGCCTGTTGCATTACTGTTTCATGCACTGAATCTGAAATACCTTCCAGCTCTTTCAACTCCTCTTTCAAGATCAGTTTTTCTGAGATTCTGAAAAAATCCTGCTCTTTCCCGAGGAGGAGTCTTCCAAAGCCGACGGAACTCTTCTGCCTTTAAAAAAGAAAGAAAAGGAAGCCAATATTATAGTCCAAGAGCAACCTTGCCTGATGTCCTCCAGATGTTTTGGGCTACAATGTCCTCAGCACAGACTATGTAGCCTATAGCCGACTGGAGTTGTAGCAGTCCAAAGATCTGGAGGGAAGCAGGTTGAGGAAAGCTGTTTCACAGCAACTGGATTTCACATTTCCTAAAAACATGAAATGAATTATCTTCATAAAGACCTAGAACCGATGAGCTCACGCACAACCCTAGTTGGCTCAGCACCGTTTCTGGCATTAACTTTGCTGTGCACTATCTGCTACAGCATAGCTTCCTTCCCAGTCATCAAAAGACTTGGGTCCTGTTGGGGACCCGACCAGCCCGCAATGCAGCTACTTCCAACAGCAATGTCTCCCCGGGTTCTGGAATAGCTTATGCCAGCAAAGAGGAGCCATAACATCAGCTTCCCCCGTAATGCTACTTTCACAAAGGAAGCCTCTGGTAGTACATCTTCTGCTTCTATTATCTACACTTTAAATATATTTCAACGATTATATAAGCTGTTTTACTTATTTTACCAATTAAAGCTTTACATTTTTCTTTCAGACCCAAATATGGAGCATCACTTTATTTCTTTAAATGACTTCATTTACAGCCAGTTATAAGCCTCTCCTAATTTAACTCTGTCCATATTTAGGATCTTTTTTAATATAAGCCTTGTTTTGCTCAAGTTATTTTATATCAGCTTTAGAATATTACATTTCATTATCAGAAGTCTAAATGAAGTATGTATGCTTATTTTATACTAAGAAATAAGTGCATAAAAATAGATGTTGAATTTCATCTGCTACGACTTTCCTCCAAGCATCTTTGACTATATTTTTTTTTCTGAAGATGAGCTGCGAAGAGCTAATGCATTCAGCAGCTGACACCTGAACTCATCAATTATCTCCTTAACAGTATTTTTGTGCTTATGATATGACACTGAAGAGCAATTATGTTTTCTACAAGTGAATGAGATCCTTGGTTTTATTATAGTTAAAATGGAAGGCCCTCCAGGGAGCCATTATTTTGTTAAATGCAAGGAATATTTGGAGTACAATGTTAGGTATACACATTTAGTCATTTATAAACACGCTGCCACTGTATTTTGAAATCCATGTAAAACACAAACACATGTGCATCCAGCTGCAACAAGACAAGAATGTATGGACTGGTGATAGGCTGCAAGAACACGCTGCCATCCCTCTGCACCTCCAACCTTGTTTCACTGTTAAATGAGAGATGCCAACCCAGGCTGATAGGAAAGCAGGTAAACTACTACAGTCTATTCCAGATCACAACTTTAATCTGGGTTTTCAAAGTCCCAGGGCAGGTACAGTAACCAGAGAAGAGACCAAGAAAGCGTTGCCTAAATTGTATATAAATTCCTCACCCTCGTACATTAATTTACCTCACAACCATATACCTAGGCTTGCACTGCACACGAATGTAATAAAACCAAGTTCAATTAAACCAGGTAAACTGTTTCAACTCACACGAAGTTCTCCATTTTCACCAGAGTTCATTTTAACCCCAACTGAGACAGTAATCCCAAGCCAATTCCAATATTGAGTATTTTGATCTGAAGCACACAGTTGGGTCTCCAAGTTCATAGACAACCCCACAATCTCTGCCACTCTTTTCACTGTAAGTTAGATTGTGTATCTGCATTCATAAATGCAGTTTATAACTCTGCCTGCTTAGCACTGATCACAAGCATCACCAAAAAGGAAAAAAAGGAGGATCAAGTTTCTCCTTGTGCTTCCATTACCTTGGAAGGGCTCATTGGGCCTGCGTAAGCCCTCAAAGACAACACAGGCTCTTTGGGGCTGACGAAGTATCTGGGTAAGGCAGCATGTGGGCCAGCGTCTGTCTGGTCAGGTGACCAAGGTGATCCAATCACAGGTGCTGAGGCATTATCTTCTGCTCTGAACAACGGCACATAATACTGACCTAAAGCACAAATAATTCCAAGTGGTGTTATCATTCCAGAACTGTTTGATATCGGGCTTTGTGCTTCCAACTTGCAAACATTTGTTGAAAATTTCCTTCATTTTTTAAATATACAAGCTCCATTTCACACCAAGAACCCCATCAGGTTTCAGTAGGCTTGCTATATGCCCCAATACAACACATGCCGTTTGTTCACAGCATAATCTAATAAGCAACGTTACAGAACGAGATCACTCTCTGACGTAGTTTCTGCAGTATCTGCAATGTCAGCTATGATAGAAACATGAACATTCCAAATACAAACCTTCCAAACATTCCCTGATTTTTTCTTTCAGTTCCACAGATTTATTTTTGCTCCTTTCACAAATTACCTGTTTGAAAAAGCAGGGGTAAAGTCAGTTAAAAACACAGAAGCCTCATACTTTCTAGATGTCTATGCAATTGGCTAAAAGAATAGGCAGCGCTTCCACACTTCTCAATCAAATCACGTTTTTCCTACACTTAACATTTTAATAATTCACCAGTTCAGATTTTAAATATCTGTTCATTCTCACCTGCATCCTATACAACCAGGATGGCTTTTTAATAAAAACAGCAAGTATTTGCTTTGGAAGCTCACCGGTCAGAAATGGATGCCTTTCCATTCTGCCACAGAACCTGCCTGCATACTTTTAAAGCCAAGCAGATGATGTCATCGTGGATAGCTGACCACTTCAGTTTTTGGCGAACAACAGGATTCCCAAAGCCTATTTTGTCATGCCTGTAATCCAGACAGACAGAAATGCCCATCTCCACGACCCACTGCCACGCACATGTATTTCTTATAACAACAGAGGCATTCCTGTCTTTCCTTTCATACCAGAAAAAAAATCTTATTCCAATTATAGTAACTGCCCTTAGTACAACTCACACCTACTTTACTAATATAGTTTTGTGAGTCAGTCCATACTATATTAGAATGACCTGAGCTTGTTTTGGGGAGGCTTCGGCTAACTCAAACAGCAGACAATTACCCCAGTAGGGAACTAAGGTAAAGAACTATTCTTTTTAGTTGAAACCAAGAGAGCTGAAATGGGTTCTAATGACAACTTACTTCTGCTGGCGTTTGGTCATACTTGTTCCTTGGATTCTTTACAATGTCTGGGTGCGAAGCAAGGACGCGAACTACATCTGAGTTCCCAAATTTGCATGCAAAATGCAGTGGTGTATCAAATCCCTACAAAAAGAAAATGTATTGCATAGTTTGGCATCTCATTTCTGTCATAAGTATTTCTGTGCACTGGAAATGTTTCTCAACAGGTTCTGATTTCTTCATTTTCTCAAATAAATTTACTAGTTACTTTTAGGACAACTTTAAAGGTAAAAGCCCATGGAGGTGGCACGAGAGAGAGGAAAAATATGTAACATAAAAAACCTTATAAAATTGATAAGATAAAATAAAAATGCATATTTGTTTTGAGTGCAATCCCAGGCATGTTTTGACAGAAATAAGCTCTCAGTGCTGGGAGATGCAGGGCTTTTTTTCTGTCTTGCACAGAACTGTGCCCAAAGGGGGCGAAAAATGATAGGGAAACCAGTAACACCTGGTCTCAAGCTTTTGGTGGTTGCTGCATCTGCTTTGATTGCTAATACATCAATTGTACCAGTTTCAGTTAACTTGCTTCAGATTAAATTGCACTTAGAACAACAAAATACGCAATTTTGTCTGGCTGACCAAATCACTTCTTCACAGAACTCAATGGGACCGACCAAGTCATCCCTACCTTTTCACACTGATTCAGTCGGACAAGTGCAACTTACTGGCTGCAGCCCTTAAGTTCCACTAAACTAAATGGGGCTGACTTCTGAGTGCTTACTTCTATATGCTGTTCTCTGAAAGTAAAAGGATGCTGATATTCAGGATGAGCAACAAAGAGGGCCATGTGGGACAGAAAGCTTACGATTTTATCTGGCGTGTTGAGATACAGGTCAACGATGTATCTGATACGCTTCTGTAACATTGTCATGTCATCGTCAGGATACATCAGTCGCATAAATTCTGGCTTTTCCAAAGTGTCCAGCAGCGAGCTGCAAATTCCCGGTTGGTCCTGTTTGGCCGCAACATGCAGTACATTATATCTGCAGCCTTCCTAAAATTACAGACACACAAGCACCGGTTATGAAGTATGAATGATCTGCTTCGATTTGTCAACCGTCGTAGAATATTTTTGCTGCAACGAATCATTATTATCTCAGCCTGGGAAAAGGTGCATTTGCATCAGGCTTAACATACTGCTGGTGAAGGGAAAACAGGGAAAACAAAAACAAAGCTTCCCAAACGTGTACTGGCTGCAAAGTTTGCAAATGCTTTGCACACGCATCTGATCTACGACAATAAACAAAAAAAGAGGCCATATCAGAAGAAAAATGGTGTGTGTGGGGGGTGGGGAGAACTGGTCGACAAAAATGTAAACTAACAAACTGGCTTGGGGTTCACTGAAAAGTTGGTTGAAATAACGCACAAAATCTTTGGATGCACAGGTTTAAATCTACTAAAAGCTCAAAAGATGCTGAATGGAGGAACAGTTTAATGATCTTGTTTTCAACTCCCAGCCCCCACCCCACTGCACATTCCATCTGTTAGGGATGGGAGAAAGCTGGGATACCCAGCATGTTAGAAGAAGTCCGGAACTTAAGAGATCCGCTGAGTTTTCCCTTTGGGTACTGAGTGAGATGATACAGAGCCCTCATCCACACCACGTTCTCATCACCTTACCTGCACAATCGTTGGGTTGTCTCCAGAGCCAATGAGATAGCGAGGATTACTCCAGATAAGTTCCAAGAAAGCCACTTCATCTCCTTTCTCAACAGCTTTCCGGAGTTTGGCAGTAAGATCCTGTGTACGAGGACTTTTATAACTGTTGGCTCTCTCTTTATTAACTGTTTCAACCTCAGGAGAGCATGAGCCATCTATCAAAGATTAAAAAGATATTTAAATACTCATGATGTTATTCTTGCTCATGGAGGTGTTGGCCAGGTTCTCTGAATTGTAAACTTTCCATATGTGCAGCTAAGCACTTGCAAGGCAGAAAATGTAGAACAAAAACTTCAGCATTTAACTTAAAATCTTAACATTCAGATCTCTTATTTTTAGATAGTCTTATGTTCCATATCACAGGAAAGATAGCAAGCTATTTTTAAAAGCAAAATCATGCACAACCGCATTGTCCATATTTAGTCTAAATTAGAGTGGTCTCAATCCCCAAAGCTATTTCAGTAGTTTAAGAATGGGAGCATATTTAAACCTCACTTACCTCTACTGAATACTGAACTTTTCACAGGAGACAGAGATAATGGAGGCTTGTTTGGTGATGGAATGTAATCGCATATCCCTTTGGCAAATTTCTCTGCATCTTCCCTATTTGTGAAAGCTTTAAATCGTGAACCTTTTATCATTTTAACAGCTTGCAATGCTTCCTTTTTATCCTCATACACATGTACCCTCTCTGGAAGAGGAAAACACCAAACCAAGTTAATTTACATCTACAGATACACTTGTTAAAACCACATAAGCTCAACAGATCTGAACTTGTACGTATGTCCCCAAAGTCAGCTTGACTACAGCAGGTCAACAAGTCAAATAAATCCAAATTCTGACTTGTCAAAATTTTCTGTTAGGGGAAAAACTGAATTCAGTCACCATTGCTCCATACCCACATGCAATTTTGGCAATTCAAATAGTAAGATATCTAACAGAAACTGTTTCAAAAGCGACCCCACCCTAAGTGCCCCCTGTTACTAGCAAAATGTAATCAAATATTGATCAGATGATATCCAGATAAGCATGGCTAATTCTATGAAGTTCAAAACAACATGCATAGTCGATAGTATTAAAGAAAATAGCAATGATTACATAAAAAGCATTACCCCCTGAAATACTTACTATCAAAGCTTATCTCACACTAAGCATGGGTGGAACTGCAATCAGCTTGAAATATTTTAAGTCTGTCTGAAGAACTGTTAGGTCATCCCTGGTAGTTAGGGGGTAAGCCTCACAAGAGCTCACTAGCTCAGAGAAAGCTTTCCTAGTTCATTATATACTTCTAGGTTTGCGGTCTTTACTTGGAAGCAGCTTGATTATCAGAATTTCCTTTCAGTGTACTTACAAATAAGAATACATAGGATAGATTATTAATGAACACTTGAATGCTAATGTTCCACAGTAAATGTATTTCAAGTATTTTATTTTTTAAAGCCTGGACATGGAATTACATAAACAGACTACAGGATAGATCACATAGTGCTATTCCTTTGAATTATTGTTTGTTTTGGTTTTCTACATCTAACTGGAGCCATATTGGACCATTTATGGACGTGGGTATGTTGTTGTGAAGATCTAAAAAGTTCCTCTTTTTGCTTTGACGTCTAACAGCACTAGAAGTGAAAATAAATTACCATTTCTTGCCAATATATCATCATAAACCGGACATACACCATAGTACAGCAGAGGTTCCTTAGATGGAGTCCGAGAATTGAGAGCGTCAACCTCCGTCTTGTGCATCAGGGCTTCCTCTTCGGGTGGGTTCAAGCCCATGCTGTACCCAAAATCACTATCCTCAGAGGCGCTAATGTGACCATTTTGATTTCCTGAGGGTTTTTTGATGTCGGGTTGGCTGGCATCAGGTGCACCAGGTCCAGGTACACCATTAAAAATGGGAGTTTCTGCCTCTAATCCCCCTTGCTGTTCCAATAATGTCTGTGCCAATCTTTTTTCAAAAATGGATCTGGTGGTTAGTGTAATGGGCCCACATTTCTGTCCAGCTTTGACAATTTCTTCTCTGAGCTCATCAGGAGATAGTTTCTTTAATCGTGTCAGTATGTCATCCATTATTATTCCTGTAGGGAAACAAGTAAATAAACATGAATTACCTATACTACTCTTAACTATGTAATCTGGTGGGGCAGGTAATACACATCAAAAGGAGGCCCTTGCCCATCAGATTGCCTGAAAAGGCTTGGGAACTTTTGCTGGGGTTTAACATGCGCTGCAGGAGAAAGAAACTTGGTTTTGCATTCACACAAACACACACAACACTTAGAAAGGAAAGTTACTTAACAGATAATATAGCACAGGCATGAGCTTTTAACCTGATGTTGCCTAGACAGCAGGTATTCCTGTTGCATCCCCATGTCATCCTTTATTGCTAAGAGATAAAGAACTTCCTACAGTCAGGACAAAATGAGGGAAAGCTCTGCCATAATATGGCTGCCAAAAGAAGCTTTGGATTTGTTAAGATGGGATCCTGATCAGGAAACCATATTGTAAGTCTTGCTTCTCACATACACCTCTGCATATATGCAAATGCTTGCCTGCCCTGAAACAACTTCCTCTTTGGTCAACCGTCTTGATCCCTTCAACCATTTTGTTTCCATTATCATGAGCCTCTTGCCAACTGCCTACCTGCCTTCCTCCAAAGTGCCTGTGTAACTAAAAGATTATGAACACTTCTGGTAGAAAACCCATCTCTGTAGTCTCTTCTGGGCTACCTGCATGCTGCATGTATAAACTGTAAAGTTTTTTTTATTGTATACCCCCAGCATACAATCACAGTTTCTTGCCGCTTCTTAACAAGGAGAGAATCTAACAGAGAGAGGGCAGGGGGTCCATTACCTGTCCTGCAGGATAGATTCCACACAGCTGTCTTGTGTGTGGCAGGAAGGGTGAGTCAGACCTGGCCTCTGGGAGCTTATTCTGGTCTGGGAGCTTATTGTTATGGCACTAATATTCATGTACAGTCAGCCCTCCACAGTTGCAGGAGTTAGGGGTGCAGGGCCCCCACAAATGGGGGGGGGACTGCAAATATCTCTAATTCTCACCCCAAACCTTCACCCCTAATGCTGTTGACCATACGTGTACTGGATTGCTTCTCCTCCTCTCTCTCAGACCTTGGTCTGAACAGCAGGGCTCCTCTTCTTCATGTATTATATTCTTATTCTCTGACCTTTCACAAGTGCCTCCTCTTTGCACCAAGGAAGGGCCAAAAAGATTTCCCCCTCCGGAGGAGCAGGACAGGAAAGCAAACTTTGAAGGCTCTCCCTCTCTCTCTCCGTTTCGCTTCCTTTCTCTCTATGGTGATAATTTTCTGCCACAAAGTGCCCATTTAATTATTGATGACAAACTCACAAATAATCAAATCCGCAAAAGTTAAAACAGTAACAGTTGAGGTTCAACTGTATACACACACACGCTATACTGTGTATATTTAACTATAATGCATTAAAGAGAAGATTTAGCTGCTTGGATATAACTATAGGTCTCTTCCTATGATAAGCAAAATAATTCATTTCACATACATATTGCAGCTTAGTGTGCTTAACCCACCGAATCCTCGGTATTTATTGCAGTGTGAAGCTGAAAATCGGGCAAGCCCAATAATAGACATACTCAACTCCTCTCCCAGCTTAGTGCAACATCTAATGTTAGCAGCGAACATACTGAGCGTCATTTCAGATCTTAGTCATTAAGCATCTGGTATAAAGCTTTAGATCTACTTCCCTGCTTAAAAATAGAGCGAAACAGAAACAAGAATTCAACCATAAAAGGAAAAGTGGAAGCAAATATTTGAAACAGATGGGAATAGGACCTTTCAATGGAATACGTACACCAGTGTATTCAACAATTTAACCTACCGCTTCTTTTTTTAGGACGCAACATTCTTACTGCCTTTAAATTATTTCAAGGAGATTAGTTGCATATTAACATAGAAAGTAGGCTGGTTCTTCTTGCATAAGGCACTCAAAGAAATAGTTCCACTTGTGCCTAGTGTTCCATTAGCAAGCATAGAAGCTTATTCTGAATAGTTCGTTAAAATCTTGGCAATCTTAAAACAAGTCAAACATCCCTTAGATTAGAGATGAGAAGTGCACGGATCCATAAGTAAGTCGACTTGAAAGGCCAGGGAAGAATTGTGCTTAAATGTCACCCAATTACAACTGTTCTCAATCTGTACTTCTAGGAATGGTTTTTTAAAATTATTTATTTATTTATTTATTTACAGACTTATCTGCTGAATCAGCCCAAAGGCCCTCTAAGCAGGTAGAGCAAAACAAGATAGATCTTGTTAAGATAAAAAATGAAAGTTCTTTCAATAAAAAGGTTCTGTCCAAAATACATAGCCACAGAGGAGTTTTGTAAGCATTGCAAAAAGCAGCGAGGACTGTTCCACCATAGAGGAACTGAGAATCTTACAATGTCCCAGAATATCCCTTACTCATCTGCCCCTGCCAAGCACTGAATTTCTATATATTAAACTAATGCAACATCTTGCTCTTTGGATCGATGAGTTTCCAAAGCAAGTGAGAAGTGTACTCTAATTTAAAAAAAAAAAAAATTGAAAACCAGTCAACAGTACCATGATGAAAACCTTCCACAGAACTAAAAGCTTCTGGCAAATCAAAAAGGTATCCCACACTGAATCGAAAAATTATAAGATCAGTGCCATGCTGAACCTCCCCAGAAAGTCTTAGATCCTGTACCCAAGAGCCCCTTCCCTGTCCATTTTGATGAAACCTTTATCTGGACTGATGACATGAACCCCTGACAAAGTTCCATTAGAACTTCATTAACGCCCATCATATCATCAACCTCAGCCTAAATCAATCCAACCAACTGGTTGATTTTTTTTTATGCTACCGTGCAACTACTTAGCATACCCAAAAGTTATTGCCTTATGTTGGAAACTGTCTGAACATTACACACGTATCAGCTTACGTGCTTCCACTCAGATCCTACAGTGAAAATTGTTCTCACCGAAGCCCTACGATACAACCAATACTAACATTATGTGTTGAACCTCCAAAAAGGCTCACAAGGTAAGGATTTAAATCAGGCATTCCTCAGACTACAAAGGCAAAGGGGAAAATAAAACAGCAAGATCAGATTGGTACCTAGCAACAAATGACCACAGGATAAACTCAAGACAGAAAACACAGGACGCCACATTGTCCGACCAACTAAAACAGCTCAAATGTATATTCAAGGAATTACAAGTCATCCTGCTTGGTGACACTTGCTCCTCACAGGCCTTGGGGGCAGATATCTACTTGTTTACAGACAGCCCCCCACAACTTAAAAACAGCTACTCCCCAGCAACGGACCACAGGAAACACAGACAGACAAGCCAGGCCCTGCAGCTGTCCCAGATGCCAGGGTGGACATGGGGACCTAGTTGGCAATGATAGCACAGACTCTAGCAATGTTGTTAACATCTAGCACACATACAATTGCTCATTTTCTAATGCAAAATATGCCATCAGTTACCAGCAATGCCCTACTGCATTCAATAGAGGTCAAACAGGGCAGTCTTTGTACAAAACGGCAATCTTCGAAGCTCAGGAATGGCAAAACTCAAAAACCAGTAGACCACCAGCTGGACCTTTCAGGACACTCTGTCACGGGTCAGGCATGGCTGGAATCTGGGTGGGAGACTTGAGTCCTGCACCGAGCAGGCGGGTGGGCCCAGTGGCCTCTTAGGCCCCCTCCAGCTGTACGATTCTATGATTAACCTAAAAGTGGCCAAGCTTGAACTTCAAAGGCAGTTTTCAATGTGAAATAGAAATTCATTACAATTCATCAAACAGTTAGAATCCATCTCCTGTAACTTGAATAGAGACAATGGTTTCAACCTCATCTCCAACCTCTAACGCTGCATAGGCTAATTAGCACACCAATTCTGTTTTATCCACTGACAACTATTTTCTGAATGGCTACTGTAAATATGGTACTTTCTCCATGTCAAGTCCCACAGTGTTTACAATTCAACCCCATGCTTAGATTGCTGGAGTGTATAACATGCTTTATGGAGACAAGATTTTGTTGTTTCTTCTGAGAAGCATGTTCCAAAGAACAGAGGTAGAGCTGGATAACATTCATTGACAACTGAACTGCACCACTTTTTCTAATACATATTTGCTTTACTCATGTGAATGGGATTTTGATAAGTATGTGCTTTACAGCTTTTTAAATATTACAAATACTTAACATTGCTATTTAATTAGAACTATCATATATTCTTCCTGCAGTTACCCCGACCTTCCTGTATGCTGCATTTCAAGTTCCTCTGGTCAAAGAGCAGACCTCACGAACCCTGTTAAATCTCCCCCACCTCGATCATACATTATCGTTGTTGTTACAGCCCATTCTTCCCTTCTAAAAACGACAGCATGTCTGACAGCTGCAAAATAACCACACATCCTAAACAAGCAAACCAACAACACATACACAAATCACAGGCAAGCCTCAGCAACGAGAATAGCCCTAATGCAGCATCATCGCCATCTCCATCCTGTCGAATAATTAGTACAGAGATGGAAATAACGCACACGCATCCTCAAAAGGCAAAAGAGCCCCCGAAGGCAGGCCGTCGACCCTTTTGTTTCCCGCATGCACACCGCCCCGCGACCAAAACCCGGCACTTGGCAACATCTCGCGGCCAGGAGGGCCGGGGGCGCTCCTCGGCCCTCCCGCCGGCCCCGACGCGGCCCCTCACCTCGGCGGAGGCCCCCGTGGCCGCGCGGCTTCTCCTCGGGCGGGGACGGGGGCGGCGAGGGGGAAGCCCCGGGGGGCGCCCCCGGCGCGAGGCCCCGGCGCCCGCGCGGCCTCCTCTCCAGCAAGCGCAGCAGCCAGCCCAGGGCGCCGATCACCGCGCAGGCCGTCAGCAGCTCCCAGGCCGGCCAGCGGGCCCAGCCGGCCCGCCACAGCCCGTCCCAGCCGGCCCCGGCCGCAGCCGCCACCCAGCGCTCCATTCCCGGCCGCCTTCCCGACGCGACGCGACGCGACGCGACGCTCGCGCGCACGCGCACATTCCCGAACGCCCTCTAGGGCCGGGAAGAGTACCTCTGGAGCGCCTCCCGGCTTCCGTCCGCGCTCCCGCTCCGCACGCGCAGGCTCCTCGCGAGACGGGCCCACCCACCGGCCACCCGCACTGCCCTGCACGGGGCTGTCCTGCTCACTGCCTGACCACCATTCAGAAATGGCGCCCCGGAGGGGACTCCAGTAGCCGAGGGACAAACGGTTTCCCGCCCTAGAACTAAGGTATGTCTACTCATGTGCCTGACTGGATGATGAGATGAAAATAATAAGAATAAGACTAGGAAAGGGGCTTGGCAAAGCAAACTGAATTCTCCCTCTTGAAAAGGTGAGAGGCCTAGCCTCCCAGGTCCCCTCAGGAACTTTGCCAAGCGCGGCCCGCCACGTCTGGCTTTGCTGAAAGGGATGGGGCAAGACGCCTTTCTGTTATGGGCGAGGGACCAGAAGGAAATACAGGAGGCGGGCGCTCTGGTTGCCACAGTAACTGCCAGTGGGACCAGTTCTGTAAGAGGAGAAAGACCTAAGAGAAAGGGTTCAAGGAAACGTACCACATTTCCGGGATTCGATTGACTATGTGGAGGGCGAAAGCACAACGTACGGAAACAGAAGGAACGGGTGTGCGGCGAGTGGAAGAAGCCGGAAGCGAAGGTTGCACTGCATGTTTTCTCTCTAGGGATGAGCTCCTTATGCTGCGTTGGGTTCGCGTTTTTTTGCAAAAAGGGTCGCAAGCATTAGGAGGGATGGATTGTTTGATGTTTGCAGGCTGGTGCGTATGTGTGTGAATGCCCTGTTGTTCGGTATTGTGATCGACTGCATCACTCCTGTGCATGGAGAATTCATGCCCATGCAGAATTCAGGCTTCGTTTCTCAGGAGAATGACCTGACTACCCCCAAATCCACAAAAGACCCTTCACCCAAATTGTGTACAGTAAATTCTTTCCGGTGCAATGGAGTACAACTCTCAATCTAGTGTGTTTCATGTTGGGGGAGATTAAAAATAACCACCCTTCCAGGGGAGACTGCTGATTCCTAAGCTTTTGCAGCTTTCATTCTGAGTTTTATAGGTGCTATCCTTGCTGGTGAACTCCATCTGCAAAAGTCTTGCTCTTGAGCAGAATGGGTAGCTTCTACAAAGCTCAGAATAAAACTGCAATGGAAAAAGTGTCCCACTAACAGAGGAATCATGGTCTCCCCTGCAGGTATCACTGTCTTCCTTTGTTATGTGGAGAAGACAGAAATGGGAAAGTGTGATGAGAATATCTTTCTTAAATATCTCTAATAGCTCTAGGGAATTATGCGCTCTGGGGATGCAATGCTCTTTTTCTTGGTACTGGCCGGCCTCACTTGTGTGTTTTGTCTCAGTGGGTGTGAAGACTCTTAAGACTGGTTTTTCCCTAGAGATACTACAGTTTTCCACTTTTGCGGGTCCCTGTGTCCCTAACCCCAGAAATGTAGTGTTCACTACTATCCATGGTTTCAGGCATCTGCTGTAGGGCTTGGAACTTATCCCCGAGAATCTGGCCATCCTGCCATAATACTCTCCTTTTGCTCTCTTCAGAAAACAGAGAGTAAGAAGTGCAGAGGGACAAAAGGGACAGGCCATTTTGGGAAGCGATGCACCTCAAAAGAAGGCATTGGCTCTCCAGAGTGCCTCAAACGGTTTAGGATCTTTTGCTGGGTTTTAACACGCACAGCTTGGTTTTGCATTCACACAAACACTCTCTGCACTTAGAAAGCAAAGGTTATTCATCAGAGAAATACAGAGCAAGCACAAGCTTTTAACCTGTTGCTGTTCAGACAACAAATATTTCCATCACATCCAATCTTACACTGGGTTCCTAAAGAGACAGGCACTAAGTGGGGGTGGGTGAGGTCCATTACTGAGTTCAGAGCTTGTGTGTCCAGAGGGCCCTTGTAGGAGAGTCTCCTTTATAAGCCCCTGGTATTTATACTGTTTCTCCATGAACATGTGTCTGTGGGAAAGATGAGTTTCCCAGGCTTATGCCTATTGTTGGAAGGGTGCTTGACTGCTTCTTGAATGGCCCTAACTATTGTTTCTCTGAGCAAGAGGTGAGTTCTTTGTGTTTGCTAGGTTATAGATAAGGTAATTTCCAGGCGTTTCAGGACAATGGGTCATCCTTCTTGCAGGGTTGTTTTGCCTGAACTCCTTATGTGGGGAGGAATGTCTGACCTTCTCCCCACAAATTCCAGCATTCAGTCTTATTTCTGAGGTTCCCAGTACAACAGTCTAACCCGCTATGTCATACTGGTGTTTAACTTGAATGATTTGTCTCCCTGGGAGTTAAATTTTCTAGCCCTTGTCATTCCAATTCACCTTTCTTAGGAACCAGCCCCCATTCCACTCCAAATTTTATAATAAAATATGGAAGCCCTTTTATGAAAAATAGTTTATTGCACAAAACATTTCAATAATTTTTATGCACATCTTAATTCTTGTTTTAATTAACATGCTTTTTAAGGTCACAATTGTTAATCTGTAGTCAAATAGAACATAACTCTTTATTTTGAACTCCCAAATGAAACGTTAAGAAGGTGATATTTATCCCTTATCAGTACAATCAGATAACAACTGGAAGCTTGTAAAGTGTGAGAAAATCTGCAGCAGAACATTTCTTTATTGTTTCTTTAAAGAAAAAATACAACTCTGTGCAGGTGAAGTCAAGTTTTCATGGAAAGGACCCCTGGTGAGCAGAATGACTTGAAATCATCTCACTCCAGCAAATCAGCACCTAGGTTTTCATGTAGCCATCAAGTAGATTCTAATCGCTAACCGAATGGCGCAACATAAATTGCATGGTCTAAATTAAGGCGACATTTCACTTTGATTTTATTGTGCATTTGTCATGTCAAATGACACATTTTGGTTTATAATGGTCAGAATGCTCCCCTTGCTGATCAGCATCTCTGTTTATGAAAAACTTTCACAATACTCATTTATTTCCATGTCCAGAAGGGCAGCTGTAAAACAGTACAACCAACAAGCACATGTTATTCTGGAAAATGTTCTTAAAACACGAGGAACTTTTCCTGAACATTGCCTGCGTGTAGGATGAAATAGGCTAAACACGGAGAAGGAAGAATGATCAAGATAACGAAGTGTGCCTGTCTCCAAACGACTTAGAAGACAGTGGAAGTAACATGCAACAGAGCAGTGGGGCAGACACTTACAGAAACCTCTGCCCCAAACAAATGGTGTTTGTTTTATACTGTAACACTGTGAGCAGTTGGAAGAAAAATGTCAAAGAATCCTCTGCTAAAATTGCAAAGGAATCCTGAAGCTTTTAAAAGGAAAAAGTTGTGATATCTTGATAGCATGTTTTTTTAGTTTCTCTAACTCCTTTGCTAGTAAAAACATAGCTGAATCCAGCAATGAAAGGAAATGGATAGTACCTTCTAGGAACCGTAAAGTAGGTGTTCCCAGCCTAGCCTCCCCTAGTCTCTGATGGCGGTGGAATAATGGGGCCTGTAGCCGATGCATCCAGAGGGCACATGGTTTGGAAAGGCCGCCCTGATCCATTGGGCTCCATGGATTCTCTGTCTCGTTTCTAAAAGCAAGCCAGTGTTAAGCAGAGGCAACTGCCTGAATTACTTCAAAGAAGAGCTGCTGGGCTAATTTTCAGAAGAAGCTGCTCCCTGAACCTGAGAATAAAAGGCAGCACCTTTTAAAAAGAGCAACGCCTCCAGTGAGGGAGGGAGAACGATACGGGCTCTGGATTTTGTTGCCAGTGGGTAAGTGTGCTGAATGCTTAAATATGTTCATCCCATTTAATCTGGTCAAAATGGGAAATGATAAGAGAGTGCAGGAACAGGACTGAAAAGGACAGGGAGTGTCTTCAGTGGGATGAATAAAAGGATCAACCAGATTTCCTAAATCACAGGTAGGATTCCTCCACCACAAAATATAAAGTTAAGGCTTCATACTGCCTTAGGAATATACAAGCTCAGGCACTAGCAAAGCACTGAAAGAAGCACATGAAAAGTTGTTAACTCACTCTGGTCACAGCCCTATGCCCCTTCGGACAGTAAAACACCCACAGCTCCCAGGCTTCCCCATTCTAGCTGGTGAATGCAGGAAACCGTAGGGCTTTTCTGCACTACACATGCCTAAGCTGGCAACCAAAGCACTGAAAAATGCATGGTATACAGCCATGAGTATTCTTCAGAATTCTCTCTTCTCTGACCCTTAATGAAATTTTCAGGGGGAAGCACACACACAAATAACAGAAGCGTGCCTGAAAATAATGCAGTGCACAATACACTCAACAGAACAGCAACATGAAAATACCTTGGTGCAGATTCTGGAGCCGGCTATATATTAATCATTACATAGAATTACCTTTGGTGTTTAAATACTACAGTATTTCTTCCTCTTTAAGTTAGCAGGGAACACAAGCTTCAGCAGCAGCAAAATAAAATAATAATAATAATAATAATAATAATAATAATAATAATTCACTCATTACTGTCATCTCCACAAAACAAACTCAGGGTATGATCCAGTGTCCTTCACACTCAATGCAAGGAACCCCCAGAACACGGAGGCCTGCCTGCATCCGATGCAAAGAGCTGCAGCCAGCCCCACGCCCTGGTTCCTCTGGACTGCTGTTTTCAGCTGTCTTAACACGGTGGAGGGCAGGGCGCCATTGAAATACGGTGTCAGCTGCCAGCCCCAGACTCCTTCCCCCAACATGCCCCTCTAGCCCTCTCTGAGGCTTATCTGTGACCTTGGAGAAGCGGCCGGGCGTCGTTCTTCCCGCATCTGCCGCCATGGGAGAGGCTCTGCGTTCACAGGCCCAGCCACAAGGCTTCCAAGTGAGAGCTCCAAATAATCTCCCACGTCCACTTCCCAGACTATGTCCTGTGTAGGGAGGCCACAGGATTGTACCCCTGGTAGTAAAAGCTGTCAGCACATTTGGGTTAGTCAGTGCAGCCTGCAATCTCAATAAGTTGATTGGGTTAGTCTTGCCAAATAGATGCTTAATGTCCCATTGACTGAAATTCCTTCCCTTCCAACTTTTACATTTCACACGTACCTTTCCTTCATATATTATATGCAAAAATTAGCATGTCATTAGAGTTTCAAAATGATTTCATAAGATTAAATATGCATAAAACTTACATTAAAAAACAAAGCAAAACCAAGGTGCAGAGATTCAACCCTTCAGGATGAAGTCAGTTTTTTCAAAAGCAGCATGGGACATAATAGGGCTCTGACAGTGCCCCGGCAGGGAAGGCGGTCTCGGACCCCACAGCAGAATCAGAATGACATTTATGTATATCCCCCCCCTCCCCGGCAAAACAAAAAAACCCTACATTTAAACCAAGAGAGGCGGATGCACCACCTTTCTCTGATAAATTTATCTTGAGTCAAGTTGCATTTATGGATTGTGTCATGTGCAAACAGCAGGGTCTTCGCAGCACATGGGGAACCCTCCAGGGTGGCAGCTTGTAACCTCCAGACTTGGAGAATTACAGGCACCGGGTCAAGGTTGGGAGGAGCAGCTAGGTGTGTCTCTTCTGCTTGGGAGGGAAAGGCGAAGACACCACCAGTAGCACCAGCAAAGTCTCTTTGCCCTTCCCAGCCCCCAGGTCACCCCAAAGAGCGCATCAACACCCCTTTCTGTGCAAGAAGAAACACAGTGGCGGTGACGGGGGGGGGGGGGTGTCAAATTCGGAGACCCAGCTCTGACCACAGACCACTTTTCCAAGAACAGAACTCGGGCTCCAAGTGTTTCTAAGGGCATCTAGAAGTGTCTTGTGGCCACAGACTGCAGGGCTATGGGCCATAGGATTGTGTTCTTACTCTAGTTTTCCATTTGCTATCAACCGACCCCAAAGTGAAGTCAGAACTAGACATTATACAAATGGAAGGTATGTGTCTGGTTTCCCTCTGTAACTTCTAGTATAACACTTTTCAAATTCCCACCTTTAACCCCAACATGTAATGTGGGGGCCATTTTTATGTTGATTTAATCATTCATACATTTTATCATACATTCCCATCTTTCTCTCCACTTCTCCCTCCCCATCCTCTTGTGACTTCTCTTGAGACAGAGGTAAGATTTGTAGATGAAAACATCTGGAAGGCCCCGACTCCCATCAGCCCTAGCCAGCATAATCAATGGTGAGGGATGCTGGGAACTGTAGGACAAAGCATGTGGAGGGCCAGCAGTCTCCCACCCCTCTCTTAAGAATGCCACGTGTCACAGATACGACCCACCTTTAGGATAGGGCACAAGAGACTTGTGGCTCTCCTGCCCCAAAGACCACTGTCCCATTTTGCACCCCCACACTGTTTTTGACTACAGCTCCCACCATTCTTGGCCACTGCCCATGCTGGATGGGGCAGATGGAAGCTGAAGTCCAAAATACCTGGAGGGCACCAGATTGGGGAAGGCTGTTGCCGACATCATGGGCAAGTTGCTGTAAACACAGCAGAGGGTAAGAAAAACCAGTTTTATCTGTACTGTTTCAGGGAGAGCCAGGGGCACCGTAATGTAACGCCACAGAAGGAGAAGCCGAGACACGTGGCTTCCACCTGCGCTGGAGGGATGGACACCTTGCCTTACACCTGCCTCTGCACTGTGCAATGACTGTTGCATCCCAAACTTCCACCCCTTTCCCGCAAGGGCAAAGTACATCTTACGCACATGAGAGCCCATTCGTTGCCACAGCTGTCTTTTTGTGTAACGCATCCTAGAGTGCAATTCAAAATAGAAAGCCAGCAAAACGGCTCTGAAACATAAGCATGAAAGACTGGATTGCCAAGTTCAGGGAAAGGGTGAAAGAAAAGAAAACCTACGTCATGTTGTTTCAGTCTGCTATTTATAGCTCAGCAGTGTGTATCTGCAAAACAGGCTACATGGGAACTTCGCTTTTAACTGGGTTTTAGGAGGAGGAAAGGGATTTTATAGGCAGTATATAACATTCCCCTCTGAAAAGTACAGTAACTAACTCCTTTAAAGCTCTGATTTTAGGGCTAAACTTTTCTAGGCTCCATATATACAGTATTTTTTAAAAAGCATTAAGATGCAACAACATCGAACAAAACCTAGTCATGTGTAACCTACTGAATAAAACCATTTTAAAAACAGATACTCCAGGACAGAACACAACTGGACCATTTATACACACCCTGCCCTGGAGATGTCCTGAAAAGACGATGCAGCATCAACAGCAATGTGCAAAAGGCGTCTGCCAAAGTGAATCGCACTCTCTGTGGGCCTTTGGTTGTGGATCCTCCATCCAAGTCCTTTGCCATAGAACGACTTCAAAATGGTTGGTTTGGGACTCATAACCCCCAAGCGCTAATTGCTTCATCCGCTACGCACCTTTAATGCATCCATCAAGGTGTGTTTCTAAGCAAGAAAGCCTGGCCTGAACCTAATATCAGCATCAGTTTGCCGAGTTGGTGTGACCTCTGGCTCTGAAAATGACTGGCTCATTATCAAACTTGTTTACCAAACCATTTTTTTTAAAAGTGGAAACTATTGAAGCCAATTCAGCTTCACAGCCAAATCTCTCTCCATATAGCCATTCCTGAATGGTAGGGGAAAGATTTTTAGTCTTCTGGGGAATCTCTTGATGGACCAACCAGTACATCTCCTTCCCTGCTGCACCCCAGTATCATTAGCTCAAGTAAATTTGACTCAGTTGAAAAAATGTTAATAAAGCATAACCTTCAAATACGTTGCCTCTGACTTTTTTCCTCTTCTTAAAATAAGTGACCAATGGAGAACTCTAAAACGTTTTTAGGGAAAAAATAAAATAAGCTGTTACAAAGTAAAAGGATGGGCGATGAGATCACTGCATCAATTCTTTGTTTTCACCAGCACTTGGAAGATCTTCTTTTGGGTCTTCAGCAGGAAGATTCTGGTTGCCCAGCGCTGCGGCAGGAAAGCTAGAAGTCAGGTCCATTAATTGTCCTTCTATCTGGGTCCATGAGGACATGGATTCATGAACTGTAATTGTGTGCTCTTCCATCTGACGCTGAAGGCTGTCCATCTCCTGCCTTTGGTGGAGAGAGAGGGAGAAGAAGAACATCAGAAGAGCTCTAATGGATCAGACAAAACATTCACTTAGTCCAACATCCCATTCCCCACTGTAGCCAGCAGATGTTTTCAGAAATCTAATCAACAGAGCCTGAAGAACGCACCCCGCTCTTGCTGTTGTTTCCCAGTGACATATTCCATCTAGATAGGAAAGAGGGTCTTTTTGTCCCAGTACCATCCTAGATCAGAAGCGAGGGACCTCTTTCAGTTAAGAGCTGATTTCAGTTCCAGAGAAGCTCTTGGGGTCCTCAGGGCAAAAGCTCTTCCAGCTCTTTTGCCAGGAACTAATTCTTAAGGAGACATTTCAACCTTTTAGAATGTGGGAGGAGATCAAGGTACAACCTGGGAAGCCATCAAACACTCAGCAGTGAGGTGAAAATGGGAGGGGCCGGGGGGTGGGGGCGTGGCCCTCTGGGGAATGGACTTCCATGAGGGTCAGCATTGGCCAGTGGCCCCGAGTTTCCCCATTTCTCTCCTAAATATTAACAGCAAACTCAATTCCCCGGTTGGCAAAAATGGTGCCATTCAAACATAAGAGGAAGGGTTGAGGGAACTTGAGGCTTTGTAGAAGTAAAAAGGAAATATTTAGAGAAAAAGTCAAGAGAGGGAAGCCCCCCTAAAGACAGTCCAATGAGAACTCAGTGCAGTGGTCAGAAAAAATAGGGACGGGGAGAGAAACCCAAACCATTTAGACTGCCTTAAGTTCTCCAGAAAAAATGGCGGACTGCAAGTGTAAAAAAAACCCCAGCATCCTGTTTTCTCCTGGAACAGATGACTCCCTTCATACATAATTCTTGTAGGTATTTTGCATGCCAGGGGAATGGTGCTAAAAAGAGGTGACAAATACACAGTATTCCCCACACACAAATTCCAATTTCAGACTGTAAAACAAACACCATCAGCTATTACTTCAGTAAACTAAGTTATTAAAATATTAAGCATGTGTAGCTTTAATAAAGAGAGACTCATGGGATCTGATTTACTTGAGTTGCCGGAGGCAGCTGTTCAGGTTTTTAAGTGGCTCTTTACTGATGGACGAGGCCGGTTTCAACAGCTCTTCCAGCAACGCTGCTGGTACGGGGCAGTCGGGAATCTTCACAGGTGTCACGGGATTTGAAGAGTTTGTCTCTCCCTTTGCTTCTTTTCTCTTTTTGAAAGAAGAAAAAATCCATCAATCAGAAGCAGCTCTCTTTAATGTTTGTACTTGCCCAGATGAAACTCCGGATACTGCAGACACACACTGATCGGCCCAAACGACCATCACATTCAGCATGATCAGAGAAGCCGCGATGGACTGAAACAGAGGACAGCAACGGACAAGGCCCAACTCTGTGCCATCACTGAGGAAACCAGGAAAGCTGTGTGCGGGTTAACATGGGCTGTTTTGCTGAAGCATAACTTGGTGCCATAATACTTTGACAAGAAGGACAATGGATGGTTCACAGCAATGGAAAATAAAATGACACTTGCCCAGAAGAAGACACCAGTATGAAATAGGCTTGCAAACATGATGGTATGTCAACAGAAAATTTAGGATACCTTTTTCATTTTTCCATGTTTCAAGTCCAGCTTTAACTGTTGATTCTGCTGTAGCAGAGTCTTCATTCCATTCTTCAGTTCAGTCACTTTTGCCTGAAGCATGAATTTGTCTTTCTGAGTTAAGGACAAATTGTCCCGGACAATCTCCAATTCTGCCTTGATGTCCTAGAATGAAGAAGGATGTCAAAGAAACGGTGCATTTGATCGCACGGATGATCATGGCACAAGCCCATTTATTTCCTTTTAAAGTGCAACCCTTAGAAGCCAGTCCCACTGAATTTGGTGCAGCATATTCTCAGAGTATAAATGGGTACAGAAATGCAGCTTTCTTGTGCATGCTCAGGAAGGGAAAAGTCCTGCAACTCTCAGCACAGGCCTGCCACCATTGTGGGAGTTGTGGAAGCATTTTCCTGTCTAAATGTGTGCAGAATTGCACCCTTACTCTGAGATGACTGAAACAAATTGAAGTGCAATTGATGGCATGGACCTTCCAAACAATATCAAATTTTATTTATTTAAGCTGCAGTCTTGTGCAAGGTTAAAAACCGAAGAATGCCTATAATTCCCAATATGCTCTAGCCAGCATAGCAAGCCTATTTAAGGGCACAATCCCAGGAGATCCAGTGTGGTGCCGTGCTTGAGAGTACAGGACTGGGACTCGGGTTCTGCTCTGAAAACAGCCATCTGGACAAAATACTGGTGCAGGGTGGGTGGAGATCACTGTCTCGTGCCGGGCGTAGGATGCACGCATCCAGGAGTGCAGGACGCAGGACCACATCCTTGGTGGACCTGCAGTGGGATCTACAGGCAACCTTGTGCCCCCCAGATACTTTTGGCTGTAACTCTCAGAATCCTCAGCCGCTGGCCAACTGGCTGCAGCTTATGAGGTCCAAAATGTCAGGAAGGCAAATGGTAGATCAATAAACAAAGTACCTGCAAAGATGCTTGTACTCCTTCCAACTCTTTCTGGTTGCGTTGCTCAGTCAGGTCCAACTGCTGCTTCAGAGTTCGGATTTCTCTCTCCTTCTGTTCAACCTCCCACTTGAGGTCTTCAACCTGTACAAAAGGGTGTCGGGGAGAGAAACGGAACTGAATAGGCTGCTAAGTTTATGTTTTGATATTCTGGTCCTGCCACCTCCCAAGAGCTTTTCCCCACCTGAATTTGGCTCTAGAGCCAAATCAAGCACTCCTCAATTTATATTTTCTATCAAGTGACATCCGAAAAGGCGACAGAGGACAGACAAGGCATTCTCACCTCTTGGTTTTCTACCGGCTGCTTGCGGAGTTGCTCATCCAACTGGTTCTGCAGAAGCTGAAGCTGGGACCGGGCATCCTCCAGCTCTTGCTGGAACTGGGACACTTCCTCTGAATGCTTCCCATCTTCAACCCTAGAAGGAAAGAAAGACTCGATCCACTGTGATAGGATGCCACAGCTCTTGATGTGCAAGAGACTATTTCAAGGTATGTACAATAACAGAAACTTGTCCGGGTTAGTCTGTTACGCTGTCAAGCCAGATTCAGTTGCCGGTAGAATGAGAGAGCGAGCAGTGGCAGCCACCTAGCCCAACATTTAAGTGATAGAGACAGACAGAGGATCATAAAACAGGAGACAGTCCACTTAGTAGAGATCACTAAGGACAGAGCTGGGGAAAACCACTGTCCTAGCCCACTTCCGTCATCAACCCCCCACATGCGCCTCTTGGTTTTGTCCCAGACACTGCCCATCTGCTGATCCCCACATTAGGCTCAGTTCTAACTTTGGAGGAAAGGTAGAGGCTGTACTTGTGTAGACTCGACAGCGTGACTGGGACCTTCAGGGACACCGCCAGCTTGTCCATCAGACCTTAGCAAAGGTCCAAGGGAGGGGACAGGTGGGGAGATGTGGCTGGGGGCAGAGCCAACAACATGGCCTCATTCCTCCTCCCAGGTGGCAGAAAGACACTTTCCTATGTGTTGCTTCTTCATGTGTATTACGCATGCTCAAGGCACTCGTAACCTCATCTAAATCAATCAAGCAGGCGCGCCTCAGACACACAGTGCTTCAGTTTCACCACGGTACTCACTGCAGTTTGTCCACTTCCACCTGGAGGGCTTGGATGAGCACCTCCTTGGCCTGCAGCTCTCGCTTAACCTCTGTGAGTTCGAGGGCAGCAGCTTTATAATGACGGCGATTGTGCGCCGCTTCAGCTTTCGCTGCTGCGACCTGCAACAAGAAGTTGTTCTCATGGTTATTAAAGCAGTTTTCTATCCTGCCTTTTTCCCTTTGCAAGGAACTCAATGCACACACACACACACACTGTATACATATACACAGTTATATACAATTTTTAATGGTTTGAACCATATTCCTTGGAGGGCTTCACTCATTATCAACCTGCCTGTATTTGAACACAGCAGTTCCCTCTCCCCTGCCCCCTTTGAGGAGTTAGGTGGGAACTCACACAAAGCAGGACCTTTTCAGGAGTGGCCCCAAATCCAGAATCTGCCTGGCAACCAACACTGCCGTCTTTTAGGGAACAATAAAACATAAAAATGAAATTCAAATACTTTGGCCACCTAATGAGAAGGAAGGACTCCCTGGAGAAGAGCCTAATGCTGGGAACGATTGATGGCAAAAGAAGACGGGGACGGCAGAGGATGAGGTGGCTGGATGGAGTCACTGAAGCAGTTGGTGTGAGCTTAAGTGAACTCCAGGGGATGGTGGAAGACAGGAAGGCCTGGAGGAATGTTGTCCATGGGGTCGCAATGGGTCGGACACGACTTCATGACTAACAACACAACAACAACAAAACATAGACTGTTGACTGTAATGGTGTTAGCAGATTGTTTCCAATCATTTCTGTATTATTGCTTGTTTGAACTTTTGTCTGTCTTACCATCACTATTTCCAGTTGCACAGACATGTATTTATATATGATATTGATCTTTTAAGGGCTAGGAAACTTGGCACCTGATACTTAGGACCACACTCCCCAAATCCTTGACCACTGGCAATGTTGGCTGAGGAGAGCATGAGCGATAGTCCAGAACACCAGACTGCAGCAGGAGCTTTCACCCGTGAACACCCTGGGGAATGCGCAAGAGCATCATCCTGCAGGCTGCCTGCAATCAGTGGCAGTGGTTGCGATGTGGCAGCAGGCCCAAGACCGATGGCACCAGACAAGCATCCTTGGCCAGAAACCATTTTAAAAGCACCCCCAAGCGTTTACCTGTTCTTTAAGGTCCTTGACTTTTGTCTTCTCTTTTTCCAAGGCCATCTGCAAGGCCTGAATGAGCTGTTTCATTTGCTGATCTTCCTCCTCTTTGCGCTTCAGAACTGCCTGGACCTGCAGCAACACAAAATCCAAGCACAGGAGCTGGTTAAGCTGAGCGCCATATTCCAGTGGATATGGTTTCAGTTCATTTTTACATCAGGGTTTACCCAGTTTATACCCTCTGGACAAGGGCAAGGACTTTTTCAAGCTTGCAGTGTGATTGGCGGACCAAAATAAAATAAGCGCTGGCACAGTAGGAAAGGGCACATAAACATGCAGTTTTGAAAAATGAGCTTAAATATGCTTTATTCAATGAGAGAAGTATGTGGGCATTTCAGAGAAACACGGAGCTGAGGCAAACATTGAGAAAACGCACACACAAATATTTCCATGCAGAAAGAAAAAAAATCAAGCCCACCGTCTGCGAGGGACTCAAGTCAGAATGAGCTTCCGGGTAGACTTCAGCAAGCTCACGGTCTGCTGAGTCACACATCCTAGTGGTGCCCCGGGAAGCTTCAGGCGGACTTTACGTATTTCCATCTACAGTCCATGAAGCACGAACTGCTGTGCTTGGACTTGCCCACCGCTCGGGGCAGCATGTCCTGACAGCACATGTACTTGACCAGATGTTCTCGGTAAGAGTTTCCCTCCCCGGCATGTACTCTCTCCCCCCTCGGCCTGCCCACTTCTCTCTGTTACAATATTAGCGTTGTTCGGTAAAATTCCAGTGTGACCTTAACTGCTCCTGAAACTCCATGGCTCTGCAGAGCTATGAGCAAATGTACGTGTATGTCATGTCTGTTGGATAATATATTGTGTGCCGGGGGGCTCCGTATGCAGTCCTACAGCAACACCTCTGGCTTAGCAGACCAGGTGGCAGCTTCCGAACTTGGTGCCTACAGTTAAAAGGTCTCAGACTGCAAGGCCGGGAAAGAGCTGGGCCTGAGGCCTTGGAAGGTTGCCGCCAATCAGAGCAAGCAACGCGAAGTTAGATGGACCCATGGGTAAAGGAAGTGGCACTGAATGCTCATTCCTGCTGCCTCAGCAGGTCACTGACCGAATGAACCAGAACTCGGCCACTACACCAAAAGTGTAGGACAAAAAGCCCCCTGGGGTACCTGAAGATTCAGCTGGACCAGATCGGCCTCTCTCTTGGCCAGGGCTGCTTCAAGGATGCGGTTGTGTTCTCGCAGAGCTGCGTTCGACTGGCCAAGACCAGTGAGTTTCCCGCGCTCGTGTTCCAGTTCGAGCGAGAGCTTCTTGTTCAGTTCTTCCAGACGCTTAATCTTCCGTCGGAAACCCCTCGCTTCTTGCAGCTGAGCAACCAGAGGAAGAATTATGACCCCCAGAGGAACTGCAAAGCTGGCTCTCTAAACAGTGCCCAGCTGAAGGGCGGCAATGAGCCCCATCACAGAAGATGCTTCTGAGCTGCATTACAGCATCCTCCTTGTATTGCTTCAGAATACAGGTGGCCCAATTTCCGCAGCTTCACACCAAAGCTTGGGAATATACAAGCTGTGTTGGCTGTTCCCAATGCTAGGAAGTCCATTCCTTGTTTCTGAATGAATTTGAGGAGTTTCTGGAATGGTTCTCCCCTCCCCGAAATTCTCCCATGTTCAATAACATGCCTTCCCTTCAAGGAGAAAAGGAAGATCTCCAGTGCACGGGTGTGGCTGTAAAGTCAAGAACTGTTTTGTAGGGTTTGACCTAGAGGCAGCTAGGTCCATGCAACCCACAGCAGCAGATTTCATTCCACTGCTAGGTGCATGGAGTGGCCACACACGCAAATTCAGGCTGCAAAGGATGCAGCTCTCACATCACCTACATCCCCACCTTCTTCCAATGGACCCAGTTACAGCGGCTGCACGTCAAAATACTGAAGAAGCCCTCAAGCTACTCTAGTGATGCCCAGTCTAGTGAGTCAGTCCCTGTCACAGCGCCCCACTGTGCGCTACACTCAAACTGCTTTAGCCGAGCCCCATAGCCAGAGTCACCAGTGTGGGTGGCTTTAAAAGAGAAATCTATGCAGCTTAAGCTTCTAGTCCTCATGGTGATATGCTAGCTCTGGTATCAGAGGCAGCGTGCCTATGTATATATTCATTGCTGGGGAACATGAGCAGTGGGGCGTTATTGCACTCAAATCCTGCTTCTGGGTTTCCCACAGGCAGCTGGCAGGTCCCTGTGTGAGCGGAACGTTGGATGAGATGGACCCTGGTCTGACCCCGCAGAGCTCTTCTTATGTAATGTTCACTGGACTAAGGAATCAGACTGAACTGCTGGGCCTTAAACCGAATCATAACAGCCGGAAGCATAAATATTGCACCCCCCTGCACACGCACACATCTGCTCGCATGTAATCTAAGCACTGCTGTAAGCATTATCCCCAGAGGGGGAAGTTAAAGACTGGAGGCCACGGCCTGCCAAAGGAAATGTGGAGGCGGAGCTTGCTCTCATCTGAGTCCTCCTTTTGAGGAACCACCTTGCTGTTACTCTCCCTTTGGGCCCAACTAAGATGGGGAAGGTGGTGTGCCTTCCCTTTGCTACTCTCACAGCATTTTCTTGGTGACGCTGACACCCCTGGCATGTGCCCAGGGATGCTCACCACATCCTAAGGCCACCTAGTGGCACAGTCTGTGGACAATATATCAGCTTGCTTCTACTGGAGGGGGGCCAGGATCCTGCTGATCCAAGGTATCCATTACAGGCCTCCATCCAGCGGAAACAGCACTCTGCCAAGCAGCTGCTTATCAGAAGAAGCCAAAACAAGCACCTCATCTTCCAGTTCAAGGACTTTTTCTCTGTACTCCTCTAGTTCCTGGCTAGTGAGTGAGATCACTTCTTGCAGCTCCTTTTCTAGGACCATCTTGCTGTGGCTAAGAGTCTGCAATTCTGCCTCGAGAACTTGAATTCTTTCCTGAAGGCAAAGAAAAGGACATAATCCAGGTCAGTGGCTCAGTCAAGAATGTAATCGTGTCAGTGAATACAGAAATTTCTGCCCAGTATGCTGCTCACCAAGCCGGCGTGGCTACTTCCCCCATCGGTGATCTGTGCCTTTAACTTGCTCAGGTCTGCCTCGGCCGATTCCTTTGCCACGAGGGCCTCCTGCAGTCGGCGGCTAAGGATCCCGACTGCATTCTCATAGGCTTTGTGCTTAGCTTTCATGTCCTTTTGGGCTGTATTGAGATCTGATCCCAGCCGCTTCATTTTCTGCTTCTGTTCAGTAAGAGCCCTAAAAACCAACACACAAAGCAGCAGAAAGTAAAAAAGGGAAAGGTGACTTCCAAAATCACTGTCAAAAAGTCATGCACTGAGATGAACAACTGGGAACACTGACCAAAAACAGACTCAAGGGATTGAGCTCAGAAGATTAGGAATATGCAGTGCTACAAGTGTGAGAAACCCAGAGCAAACACAGAGAAGCAATATTACACATTATGCCCCTCGGAAAGCACACGATGTGATTCTTGTGGTGAACAAAAGCAGCAAATTATCCATGATCAGGGCTGTGCCAGGTAAATCATACTCACATTTTGGTCTCCTGTTGCATTTCTTCGATCTGTCGCTTTAATGCTTCATTCGTCTCAGCAAGAGCAGACATTTGTTCCCTGTCAAACTTCAAGGACTGAAATGCACGGAAGAGGCACAGAAAACAAAAACGGGGAAAAGGGGATGAGTAGAGATGCAGAGTTTGTGACACACTGACAACAGGAATGGGTTAAATGGATGGACCCCAATGTGTTTAATTACAGCCCACGGCATGGGAAGGCTGCCATTCTCCATCCATCAAATGCCTTCCCAGGTAATTCTAAGGGCCGCCCAGTTCACCATTCTGGCTGCGCCCGGGTGGCACAAGGCCCAGTCCTGAGCTTGGAAACATTTCTTTCCACTTTGATTAACTGCTGTTTGTTGCATTCTCTTTAGTTAATGCTATGCTTTATTCAAAGCAAATGTACCTATGCATGCTACTCCTCCTTTCTCCTGCCTGTAAGGAACCCACAGCAGCTTTGTGGTGGTCCCACTCCTCTCCATCTTGTCCTCACAGTTATCCTGGGAAGTAGGCTAGTCTGAGGCAGCGACTGGCCCAAAGTCTCCTAGTGAGCTTCGTAGCCAAGTGGAGCCTAGAATCAGGATCTGCCAAGTTCTTGTCCAGCACTCTAACCCCTGTGCCACACTGGCTTTCTCTTTAAGCCATGATTTAAAGGTTAACTGCAGTTTAGGGCCCAGATGTAACGCTAAACTGTGGTTAACTGAACTAAGAAACCAAGAAATAAGGTTCTGCTGGAGGAGATTGGGTGAGAGGTCAGCTGTGTTCCAGTCATGGTAAGCAGTGGCTTGCCTGTATATTGTAACTTCCACATAGAGTCCCTTGTCTTCTGCCACAGCTGAAAGCAAATGCTTCCAAAAGACTGTTCTGAAGTATTATTGTGACACTTAAGCAGGACAGCTTGGCTTCTCCCACACCTGCAGTTCTGTCTCCATGCCATCTCGCTCCTTCTGCGCTGCTTGCAGCTGGCTTTCCAATTCCTCCATCTGCTGCTGAACCTGGGATGCTTCCTTTGCCAATCTTGCATTTTCCACCTCCACAGATTTCTTTTCACCCTGAAGCTGCAGAAACTCCCGCTTTAACTCTCTCATTTCAGAGTCCAACCTTTTCTTCGTAGATTTCAGTTCACTAATTAGCTGGTCCTTTGAATTTGCATCTCTGCGGTACGCTTCCACCATCACCTAGACATCAAGAAATTGAGATACTAGTATGGAAGTGTGTACACATCATTTTTATGTGCAAAGAAAAGGCTAACTCAAGAGAGTCAGTCCCAAACTGACATATATCAATCTTTGCTGAATTTAAACAAAAATTGTCTGGACCTTGTTAAGGGAACTAACATAATTTGCACATAGGCAAATGTAAAATTTAGCTACAAGTGTGGATTTTTTAAAATGTCTGGTTACATCAGAACACAAAGCAATTAAGAAAAAACGCACAGTATTTTTAAATTTTCTTCAAAATTGAAACATTTAGGAAAGCACAGGCATACAGACCTTTTGTTGAAGAAACTGTTCCTTCACCTTTTGTGTCTGCTTCTTGAGGTTCACACTCTCGCGTTGTAGGTTTTCCACCTATGGGAAAACACAGCAATCCCTACATTACCTGGTCACCAGGTGAGAACTTCAGAAGAGAATTAGTTCTGGGGCATTCAGACAGTGTGTCCCTAGGGATGCAATATTCACCAAGAATACAGAGGACACAGCGGTAATCAGAACATAATTTCAAGTTTATAGGAGTGTTACAGAATGTTCATGAACACTTTTAGCACAAGAACATGTAATCAACATGTTCACTCATTCCCAATGCAAGAAAAAAAGAACCAAAAGAACATAACAGGGCGGCTTATTTTATACTGTATTTTTGTATTTTTAATTTAATGTTTATATTTCTGATTTATATTATAATTACTTTAACTTAGTGTTGTAAGCCGCCCCGAGGCTTCAACGAATGGGGCGGCATAAAAATGTTTTAATAATAAATAAATAAATACATACATACATACATACATACATACATACATACCTGACTTGATTTTACAGCTAGTTCTTGCCTCAGTTGTTCCAAAACCTCTGCTGTCGACTCGGCACTCTCCCCTAAACGCTGGACTCCTTCTTCAAGTCCTCCTTTGCCTGATTTTGCTGCCAGCAGAGCCACCTCTAAGACAATCTTCTCGTTCTGCAAATACTGGATGGTTTCGTCCTTCGAGGTGACATCCCCCTGCAATTCTGAAAGCCTGGCCTCCAGCTCATCGTAACGCGTCTGCAGGTGCTCCAGGGACTGTTCCCGGGTCTGCAGCGTCTCCTGAGTGGATGTCAGCTGCTTCATGAGGTCCAGCTGCTCCTGCTGCAGAGCCTCAACCTGGAGATCTCGCTGATGCAGTGTCAACTTGGCCTGAAAAGAAGTCGGAGATAACATATTAAGTTCCTCTCCCTGCATGAGCACACACATCTCATCCTTCTAGCATTTAGGAGCCATAATCAGGACTCAGCTCAGAGTACCAGCAAACTGGGGGTTTAAATTGGGGGCAGGAAGAACAGAGCCTTTTCTGGGGTGGCTTCCCAAGGATGCGAAACAAGTTTCTGCGAGAGGCAGGTCATTGCACAGCCTGCCCGACGTATCAAAAACATGAAGCTCATTGTTTTAAAGGACTGTTTGGTGATTAAGATGTGTGGTGATCGTGTTTCGGTGTCTCTGCCATCAGTGTGAGTTCAACTATTGATGATCACGGCCTTGTGGGTGGGTGGTTCAGGGCACAATCCTACACATACTTGGGCAGAACTAAATATTCATTAAGCCCTGTTTATTTCTTCATCCCAGCTTTAATTTAATTTTAATTAATTAAATGTAATCAAAACATTTCTACCCCATCCTCTGCACAAGCCTCAGGACGGCTTACAAAAAGTAGCGCTTAATCTGATTATTCTGAAATGTCTTCCCACATTCCACCCCAAGACTGTAACTAAAGGCAGTCTTTGTGGCTCCAACATTTCTCTTCTCCCCTTTACTTCACTTACCATCATCTAGCCTGATGAAGAGTTCCAGAGAATTCAAAAGCTTGCACGAGAGCTTGTGAGATCTGATTAATAATTTGCCCTAATAAAAGTATTGCATCACTGTGGATTTGGGAAAGTTAAAACAACTCTCTCTCTCATTTTACTCCTCTTCACTCATTGTTTGAAATATAAAGATACAGACTTAAGGTTGATGAGCAGTTCTTCTGCTTAGCTATTTACATAAAGTCCTGAGCAATACCGATCAAATTTACCTGTACTAGTTCCTGTTCCAGCATTGCTGCAGAATCAGCCATTTTTTGAAGTTGCTCTTTCTCATCCTCAAACTCCTCCAGTTTCCTCTGCAGGTCATCTTCCACCATGGTCTTAGCCTCCTGAATTTGCAGAAAAGCTGCTTCTTGGTCTAACATATCTGCCTGTTCAAGAGAAGAAGACAGTGTTGGCATGTGCAGCCAGCAGGGCCCACGTATTATAAAATATAAATCTGGGAAGTCAAACAAGCCAGTCTTGCATTCTAAATTAACACAGCCTCTCTCCTTGACCAAGATGGTCGAGCACTGAAGAAATTATTTAGGCCAGTGTCGATCTCAGCCAATACCAGAAAAGGGCAAGAATTTCATTTTGTCCACATTTTTAAGCAAACCAACCTGATGTTCACTTCCCAGATGGATATTTGGCAAACACAATTATCCTTTGGACTGCACACATCCCAGAATTTTGCAACGCAGGCCTCAGTCCAAAGACTGCATGCAAACATCCATAGATGGGGGAATGCTGCTTTCAAAAATAAATACAAATATTTCTGGGTGGTTGTGCTTTTTTTAAATCACGGACTGATGCAGACTGTGAGTCTGGCACTGAGCAGAAGCAGATCGATTTATCCATTTCCAGTCTACACACAGCTGATCTGCTACTGATTATTCTTAGAGTACAATCCTACACACGCTTAAATGGGATGCCATCTCAAGGGGAATGTCTTCCTCCTGCACAAGCAAGACTCAAGCATACTGAACAGAGGGAAATGCACAAAAGCGTAAGTGAGGGTGCTTCTGGACAAAGGGCTCCTGGTGCTGCAGTCAGAAGATGCTGGGCAGTTACTCTCTCTCTCTCTCAATCCTTAATGGATTTCCTGTGGAAAGGAAAGACTGGAAGACGCATCGGGAAAACACAGGGGAGTTACAAAGGGACGTTGGTGGCATCTGGCGGGGCCACCCGTAACACTTCATGAACGGGCTGTGCAATTGCACAATAAAAAGCCTTGTACGGAAGCATAGCGTGTTCCTTATTATTTTGTTTAAAAACAAAGATATCATCACAAACATCCATCCTCTTAAAGCGGAATTAAATCAGAGGTCCAGGAAGGACAGCCCATGAGCTGCATGCGGCTCAGCAAGTCACTTCTGAGAGGGTGACAGGCTTCCCTGGAAATAAAAAACTAATTGCAATTGTGATTTTCCTTTGCAAGTGCTTGTGAGAGGAACTCTTCCGTTACTGCCAATCCCTTCCAAGAGAACGGAATTAAGGAAAGGAGTCTCTTTCTTAGTGCTAACAAGAGAAACCTCTTCCTCCTCTCCGGTCTCTCAGAAGACTGTTTGCATCTGCAAGAACTGCTGCTTGTTGGTTCATCTGAATCCACAAACTGTGGTTGACAGTAACTGTGGACCATTTGGAACAACCCAGCTTTAAACCACTACATTTATTATAGTGCACATAACTAACTGCATGGAAACAACCTGTGTGTACATTTATAAAACAGAATAGACAAGAGGGCCTTTAATAAAGGATATTATTTTAAAAGTTTTCTTAATGGATAAAACTCACATTCACATCCTAATGCTTCTATTAAAATGTTGAAAACTACTTACTTAAGAGTATTACATTTAATCACCAAATCACAACAGAGGAAATCCCTAAAAATTTACCTCGATATTTTGCAGCTGTGTAGCTATACGCTCCTTCTCTTTGATAGATCTGTGTTGTGTCTCCGTTAATTGATGAGACAGTGTGACATTCTCTAGCTTGAGATGCTCCAGCACACCTGCCTGAGTCATCTGACCAGCCTGGAAGGTGGAAAAAGTAATTACTCCAAATATTTGCAGCTCTCGTTAAAGCCATTCAAACTGGGGAGGTGCCACAGGGGAGAGAATGTTTTAAAATATATCTTGAATGATTTGATTTGTACTTTGTCTTTCTCGTCAGAATAAAATGGCACTCAAGGCAGCTTACCATCAGAAATAAAATCTGATTTAAAAAATCATGGCATCTGGTCCTCTCACTTCCTGGCAAATAGATGGGGAAGAAATGGAGGTAGTGACAGATTTTATTTTCCTGGGCTCCAAGATCACCGCAGATGGGGACTGCAGCCAAGAAATTAAAAGACGATTGCTCCTGGGGAGGAAAGCTATGGCAAGTCTAGACAGCATACTAAAATGCAGAGACATCACCCTGCCGACAAAAGTGCATATAGTCAAGGCTATGGTTTTCCCAGTTGCAGTGTATGGCTGTGAAAGCTGGAGCATAAGGAAGGCTGAGCGCCAAAGGACTGAGACCTTTGCATTGTGCTGCTGGAGGAGACTCCTGCGAGTCCCTTGGACTGCAAGGTGATCAAACCGGTCAGTCCTAGAGGAGATCAACCCTGACTGCTCTTTAGAAGGCCAGATCCTGAAGATGAAACTCAAATACTTTGGCCACGTAATGAGAAGGAAGGACTCCCTGGAGAAGAGCCTAATGCTGGGAACAATAGAGGGCGAAAGAAGAAGGGGACGGAAGAGGATGAGGTGGCTGGATGGAGTCACTGAAGCAGTCGGCGTGAGCTTGAGTGGACTCCAGGGGATGGTGGAGGACAGGAAGGCCTGGAGGAGTGTTGCCCATGGGGTCACGATGGGTCAGACACGACTTCGCGATGTAACAACAACAACAACAAAATAAAACAATGCCTTCAGATTTAATAGAATAAAAAGAGTACCCACCCAATAGATCCGTTTACTTGCCCGAAGCCTGCTGGAATAAAGAGGTCCCTGCCTGCCAGAAGAACACAGAGAGGGCAGAAGTTCCATGGCCAGGGAGCCATGACCAAAATGGCCTTTTCTCTCATCACGACAAAACATCCCTGGGAAGGCTGCAGCATTGAATGAAGAGGCTCTCCAAGCTTTCTCTCTCCCCTTTCCAGGAGAGCAAGGTGAACTTCTTTTAAAATGCAGTCTGTTGTTGAGCTAGGCTGGCTTTGCAGCATGAAATGAGTTGTTATTAACAAGCTCTGCCTAACCTGGAGCCCAATGGCACTGAGGCTGCAGGCATTTCATAAGCAGCGAGTGACGCCTACCTGGATATTTGCCATCTCGCTCTGCAGCCTGACCCTCGCCTCCTGCGCCACTGCCAACTGTTGCTGGTACCAGCCCCGTACTTTCTGCAGCGACTCAATCTCCGCCTGAGATGATTTTAGCTTATTGCCCAGTGATGTGCGGTCCAGCTGCACCTGCTGGAGCTGGCTTTGTAAAGAAGAAAGCTGCTGTCGGAGATCGTGAACTGAAAATCGAGAAAACAGATACGTTAAGGAGGTTATATATGCCCAATCAGGGGAAAGGCGGAGAGGCCATTTGAGGAATTCCAGTGGCTCGGCTCAGGGCCCCGCAAGGGCCGCATCTGGCCTGTAAGCTGAGGTTCCCCACCTTGGGACAGACCCTTGACTTGATCCGCCAGAGCTCTCACAGAGGGATGGATTTTAAAAAGACTAACCATCCACACCGGCTCACCTGTGCTATCTTTACTAAGGACGCTTTTCTGCAGGTCTTCCACTTTCCCCATCAGTCTTTGGTACTGCTCCTCTGCCACCCGGAGATCGTTATTAGAAGCAGCCAGGCCGGCGTTCTTGGCTTCCAGGGCTGCCTGCAGTTCGGCCATGGCTCTTTCCAGATCCCAGCAGGACTGCTTCAAGGTAGCCACTTCCAAGTTCAGCGAGTCCTGCTTCTGCTGGCTGCTCTGGCCATGCTCCATCTGGGCCTGAAGCCTCATGTTCAAAGCAGCGAGCTGGGCTTGCAGTTCTGTCTTTTCTTTGAGAGCCTGAGCAAAAGCAACATTTATCCACAGTTACTTTGAAATTAAGGCTTTAAAGGAAGGTAGGCTGAAAACAGCTGCTCTGGAAAACCAGGAAAAATGCATGAGGGAGGATGCTCTGTCTAAGGACAACTTGTTAACCAAATATTGGGAAGATCACAACTCCCATCACCCATCACCATTCTCTACACAGACTAGCACTGGGGTGGGTTGCAGGCCAAAATGCATGGCAGAGGAGCCACATACATTAATTGTAACCCACAATTACAATTTTCCTTCCCTTTCATGCAGTTCTTCATGTCTATCTGTCGATCAGAGGTTGGAAGCAAGCTGGGGCTTGTGAAAATGCAGGGAAGTGGGGTATGAACACAACAGCAAAGAGGTTCAGCATCGCATCCACCTCGCTAGCTTCCAAGGAAAGTGCCTCCAGCTGTCCTTCGAGCCGCATCTTCTCTTTCAGCACCTGCAGCATCTCATCGTGGGTGCCTGCGATAGAGCTTTCCATTGATATACTGGGGAGAGATGAAGCATAGACACGTTTGAGTAGCATATACACTGTGCCAGTTATAGTGCGATTTTCCGCTTGTTCTGCATATGCAATAGCTGGCTCATGACACGGTCCTGATGTAGTTATTCCGCAATGGACTGGTCGAGGTGATCTGGTGATGCTATGGCACTGGCACAGCCATAAACTGATTCATGTTAATATGGCAACTATTTGGAAACTGCAGCTATTGCTACAGGCAACAGCCAGACGCTGGCCTGGTGTGTGTTTTATAGTCCACAGAACACCCTGTCTTGGATCAGTTGCACCGGCTTCCAGCTTGGCTCTTAGCTGAATTAATGGCGCTGCTTTTGACCCATACAGCTCCACATGAGCTTTGGTCCAAGATACCTGAAACGCTGCTTCGTGCTGTTTGAGCCTGCCTGAAATCTGCATTCATCATCTGAGGCCCGGTTACTTTCTCGACCACCTGGAGAAGGGGGGGGGGGGGCAGGCCAAACAAGGTGGCAGCATGCTGCTTACAAAACCCTCCCCTCTAGGAAGGTCAGCCTTGTTTGTTTGTTTGGTTTTGGTGAGGGGGAGGTTATAGTTGTACTTTATTGCAGCTTTATATTATGTATGGTATTACAGTACAAAGTATTCCTGTTTGGATTTCTTTGTTGTTTTTCTAATTAATATTGTAATTTTCAATACAGGAACTGCCCATCTCTGTGGTATGTGCAGCTTAGAGAATGGCCTCCCCTGCTCTTTAGAGGCACCAAAAGTGGAGTGTACCAGTCAGGGATCCATCCCTTTGCCCTGGTTCTCTGATTGTTTATGCTGCTCAGTTGGTTTCCTAATATCGCATTATGAGTAGCTGCTTTACTTCGATGTAATGCAGTATAAATGAGACTTCTTGGGAAACCACATAGAGAAAATACAAAGCTTTTGAGAGTGACAGAAAGTAGGGATCAAGCCTTGTGAAAGACAGTCACATTTTTCAATGCAAAATCACTGAAACAGTACTCGTCCAAACACCTTCCAAGCCAACGTGAACTTGATTTAAATTGATGGTCGCTTCCATTTGTAAGAAAGAAGGAAATGGCTACAAGACAACGCAGCCAATGCTGTTGTATTGACTAATTATCCATTTGCTAATTCTACACTTGATCTGAATGAGATTGGCATTAAGACACCATTATAGTATCATAGAACGGTAAGCTTCTGAGAACCAAATACTAATCCCTGTCTTACAGGGCTCAACTGGATAAGAACAACTAGGGCAGGAACTCTTGGAATCCCGTTACATGCAAAGCTGGAAAGAACTCTACATGGATTAAATACTTAATGGACGTGAGAACAGCAACGGAGGGTTTGAAGGCAGGGGGCTGTTACGGAGACTCTGCTTCGTGGATGCACTAATGGATACGGTCCAGTCAATGACCCGATCCAGAAAATGGTGGACACAGAGTACACGCACACTGCAGTATGGTCTGTCTGTGTACTGCACTGACACCCTGCCCATCTTCCAGGAGGGAACAGAAGCCACGGGAGCTCAGACTCCCATTCTGGACAGGTACCAACCCCAGACTGGCACCTGTAAGTCATCTGGCCTTATACTATTGATTCACTTGGCTGACGTGGGCGATTGCCGTACGAGTGAGTTAATGGAATTCCATGCAACTGAATGAGCTGGCTGGTGGAAGAGGGACAGCTTATTCTGCCCCTCTTTTGCTGGTGCACTTTGCACAGAAGTGGACAAAGGGTAGCCCTCCAGATGTTTTGGTCTAGAGCTTCCGTGAGCCCTGGCCAACAGGGGCAATGCTGTGGAGTGATGGGTGCTGAGGGCCAAAATATATTGAGACACACAAGATGACCACAAAAGACTCTTAGTACAAGGGGCTTACCTTTTTGGCAAGCCTGATAAGAGATGAGTGGGCACAGGACGGGTGGCCAGGTGTGTTTACCTTCCTCCACGGCCATGAGCAAAAGGGAAGCTACTGGTCTCTTACCAGGCTGGTGCAACACCACGCAGACACCGACCTGTGCATCCCAAAGTATGGCCCGGCCCATTCAACAGCAAAGACCCTGGCACTCATCAACCGACGCGATGAACGACACGGGGGAAGAGATTCCCCGGAGGTGTACAGTCTGGGATGCAGCCTCTTACCTGCTGGAAATGCTGTCTCTCCGGCTGTGGGGCTCCCCATTGATTTCCTGATCCTGGGCATGGTGCTCCGTGGCCGCAGCCTGCAGGACTTCCCGGATGGAAGGAAACTGCCCAACAGCATCCAGTGGGACCTCCTGGCCATTGACGGTGAACGAGATACCCTGCCTGCTCTCTGCACTGGGTAAGGTGCTGTATGCCCCCCTTCCCGATACGCTGCTGTAGGTAGAGCTGTCGCTTTCATTGCCATCCAGCCTCATCCCTACTTCGCTCCCGTCGATTTCCGACAGGCTATCCCCCGCCAAGGAGGAGTTCTCCAGCCGGTCATCCGGATCAGGGGTCAGCCGGATCTCAGACACAACCGATGCCACGCTGCTTCGATTCTGCTTTAGAGTCCCGCCTGGTGAATCAGCCACCTGGGCAGCCCCCCCAGCATCCCCATCTGCGTCGTCAGTTCGATAATCAGCCAGAGAGCGGATCCTGCTTGACCTGGACGATTTGGAACTTTTCCTCTCTTTCGAGTGTGCCGGCAGTCCCAGGCTTCCCAATTTCGGCCCCCGTGGGACACTGGTTCGCAAGAAGGAGTACTCTTTTGTCATGGCTACGGTGCTGGCCCGTGGCAGGGTCTCTGGATTTAACATCAGCTCAGGATCAAGTGTACTCGAGGGGCGGGCCTTTGCCGTGGACTGCTTGGACCAAACAAGGGAGGGACAAAAAAAGATTTAGTAGTGCAAGGGAAATAATATTCCGGATTGTTAAAAGTTAAGGTTGGAAACATACTGAAATCCCTGACCAGTGCCCATGATAACTGGGGCTGAAGGGACTTGGAGTCCAAAGCATCTGCAGCACCAGGTGGGGGAAGGACTATACATGGAAAATCCACCCCTAGACACTCACTCTTTCCTGCTGCCGTTTCACTCGGTACTGTTTGAGCTGCTCTTCCAGGCGCTTTCTTGCCTGCAGTCTGATTTGTTCTTCTTTCTCCAGTGGGAGAGATGAGCCTGTGGAACCTGCAGAATGAAAACGGTTCAGATGCATGTGGATATACGCTTGGCGAAGGGGTACGCACGTGGATGACATTTTGTCTTCGTGAGAGCCGTTAAATTGCAGGGGGAAAGTGGCAGAAAGGCCAAAGACAGACATTTTCTAGACCAGAAACTAGCTTGTTTCTTTAAACAAAGCTGTTTCTGTGGAAGAGAACGAGGGGTGCCAGATGCTGTCTGGGACCCTGTTGAAGATGCCATCAGCCCTTCTAAGATGCCAGCCATCACCAGCGGTTTGAAAAGCATTGTGAAATTGTTAGCCGTCAGCAGTGACGCATTCCTTCCATTTCAAAGGAACAGCAACCTTACTTGCAGCTCATTGGTGGACTAGCCAGCATCCCCCCCACCACACACACAATTTGGTTAACATTTGAATATTCTGCTGACTGCGTCTTGTACTCGCGCTGTGTGAATCTTCCCTTTGAAAGCCACACTCCTGTGAGTCAGGTCACCCTAATCTTGTCTCAGAGGAGAGGAACTGAGGTCAAGACACAGTGACAGCCTCAAGCCAGTGTGAGCTGCGCCGGAGTGTGAATCCAGATTCCCAGATGACTCTGGGCGCAGCGTCAAAACGCACCATCTTGCCGTGGAGCCGATTCTCAATTGCGTGTGAATGCTGGGGAAGGGCTGAAAGGAGCAGTGTCAGCTCTGCACCCGCACATTTACTCCTCTGTACCAGCAGTGCAGAACCTCTTAGAGCCCTTGGGCTCCATTCCAATTTGGAGAAGCTTCATAGCAGGGGCGTTGGATGGCTGGACAAAGCAGAAGTAGGACAGCCAAAACTCCACTGGCATTTGAGGGCATTTAGCTTATTTATGTGCATGATTTAATCACCATTCTACGTCCAGTGAGACTTCCGAGTTCCAAGCTCTCACTGCTACTAAGCAACTTGCGGAGAGGCCTTTCAGCTTCAGGCTACAGGGGGGAAGCTGCAGGAAAGCTGGGAAACAGTTGAATGATTGGTGGTTGGGGCAAAGGGGAGTGGCCCTCTCAGAACCTAAGAGGGCCGCACTGCAACCTCAAGAAATTGGATTGGGCCTCAGGAGATAAGGTTCTGCACCTTTGCTCTACGACGCATGCATGCAGATAAGTAAAACATGCGCTGACTGCCAGGTGAGCTGACTAACATGCAGTGGAAAGAGGGGGCTTGGCCTCCCGTGCCTCCCAAGACCATTGTGTAAGCATTGATATTAAGAGCTCACTCACTCTGCACTTCAGATTCACAGCTCTTTCAAGCAACCTGTAACTGCCCCTCCACATTAGAGGTGGAGGCAGCCCCCTAAATGCCTATGTTAGTGCAAAAGAGGGCGGAGAGCCACAGCAAGGAGGTGTATTTCTCCGAGGGATCCTCTGTAAGCCTTTATCCCTACTAATTCTTCTGAATTTATGCAACTTGCGTTGAATTGTTGAGTTCGTTGTGCTAGGGTTTAGTACTTCGTGCCTGTATTTTTGCTATACTTTGTAAGCCACCCTGGTAACATTTTTGAAGGTTAGGTCATAAAACTCTATAAATAAATAAACGAGCCTCAATTTTTTAGTCTCTTATCTCAATTCACTACAACTGACCATTACTGCAAGTTCTGCACACTTATATATACCTGTCCAAAAAACAACCTCATTTTAAAAAATCCCTTGTTTCTAGCAGAACCATAGTAGCAACATCTATTCCAACCTGCAACAATAAATAAACAATGAGTAAAGTTAGGGAATCTGTTAATCACAGCCACAAGCGTCAACTGCCACAGAGCACATCTGAAGTATCAGCTCAAGCTTTTAACAGGATATTTGAAGAAAGAGTCTGCAGAGAATCAGAGAAATGGGGATAAGAAAAGGCTTTTTTTGTGGAGCAAGAGAATACGGGGCTCCATGGTGAACAGATGCTTACACAATTCAGTTTCTTGCATGGGAAGGCTTAGTTTGAGGGACTGCAACGTTTCCTTCCTAAGAACTACGCCCTCAGCACTAGCTCCCTGAGACGACTTTAGGTTTTCATGGAAACCAGGCACACCTGGAGCTGGCTCCTTCACACCGGGGCTGCCGTTCGGCTCAAAAGGCACAGGGGATTCTGGATAGTAAGATGCTGGTCCATTGGCAGTAGGGTTCTCATTGCTATTCGGCACCAGATCTGCATCTTCAGTTGGCATTTTGCTGTCATTTACGTTAGCAACTGGGAAAGAACAGAATGTTGGATTTCAGTAGGTTAACGTCAGTTGGAAACTCAGCAATGGAAGGCAAAGTCACGGTTCCAACGCCCTTGCCTTTGTGGACAGGATTTCCTGCATCTGAAGCTCCTCTGACCCCGAAATTGCTTTCTTGGATCACGAAGCAAGCACAGAGAGCAGAGCATGCTCCCTCGCAGCAGCTCCACTACGATCCACCTGCTTGCTGGTGCTTTGGCCGCTTCTGCTTTGCAATTGCTCCTGCCTCTTTCGCCTTCAGTCCCACCACTGACACGAACCTGTTTCAGCCCAAAGGCCAGGGGCTACAACATCCCTGACTGGCAGCGGCTTTGCAGGATCTCCAGCAGAGATCTTTCACATTACCTGTTCCTTAACTGGATACCCCAGGGGCCTTTCTATGTCCCAAACATGTGCTCAACCACTCTGCTACAGCCAGGTGGGCACATATTTTCATCTGACCTGCATTCTCCAGGTGCACAGACGGAGAGAGAGACATGCCCAGAGCCACATCAACATGAATTTGAGCCTGGATCTCTCAAAACAGCTCCCTTCTCCCGTTCTGTTGAGAATGGCCGTTACGCAAGTACGATGCTTGTCCTTTGCTGTGTGTATGAGAGCACCGGCCAAAGAACCAGGTGCTGGGTAGTTCCTTAAAAAACACATTCAAAGGATTTGACCATGGCCAGAAGCCGACAGTGATGCCGAACCTCCCCATCCCCATATTATCCATCTGTCTTATGGGTCCTTCCAAGGGCAACTGCAACAGAAAGGGAGCTAACGGGTCCTTTGATCCGATACACCAGTGTTCTTCCTACACTGCCAAACCTACAATTGAACATACCGCTCACATGCAACCCGATCAAAAGAAAGGGCTTACCACCAGCACCCTCTTCTTCTGCCGGTTGGCTCAGTTTGGCTCCGAGGTCTGCACAGTGCTCAGAACTGCACGGCGTGCCATTACTGGCTTGTTTCTCCACCAGGATCAGGGAAGAGTCCATGACTGTTATCAGGATGCAAGGGGAAAATGTATTTTCCCAGCCGAACAATATTTTTTTCAAGCAAACTACCGAGGCCTGTTTCTATCCATTAGCAATGTTGCTGGCACAGGAGTAGACAACATTAAGCCTCTTGCCTCTGTTGCTTTACGGTATGCAACTCAATTCAGTCCAAATCCGGTCAGCAGGCAACTCAGAGATTCCTGGAGATCATTACCTTAGCCTGCAGGGGGAAAAAGCAATTACCAGGTTGCATCACTCTCCAGAGACAAAGGAGACACGTATTTTTGAAAATGATTCCTGTCTTGAAGAGACGATACGCATCTGTCTCATACACCAATAGCAAACACATTCTCCACATGCCAATTTTTATGCAGTCCAACTGGCACCACTCACACGCAAGATGAAGGTACCGGCAAAATCAGGGAAAACCCAATCCTTGCAGAAGTACAAAAAATACCTTTGTGAGAGGGGAACTCCTAAGAAAGAGATCTTCACAGCAGTCCAAAAAAGATGGCGCATGGCCACGGAATGCTAAGTATCTATTGTGGGTGAGGGGAGCTGAGAGAAAGTGAGGGGGTGACAACCATATGGCCATCCTCTGATAACGGAGGTAGCCTATGGCCACCAAGATGTAGTACCTGCAGCCAACTTATTTATTTCTTTATTAGATCAATAGCCCACCTTAAAAAAAAAAAAAAAAACCTCAAAGCAATTTACATCCTCCTCCTCCTGCTGCTCTCCTTATCCCCACAGCAACAACCCTGTGAGGTAGGTTGGGTGGAGAGTCTGTGATTGGCCCAGAGCTACCCCGCTGGCTCCATGGCTGCGTGGGGACTAGAACCCAGATCACCTGAGTCCCAGTCCCATGCTCTTAACCACTGCACCACACCGGTTCTAAACTTAGCCAGCTTTAAAAGTAGATTCAGAACATCATGGAGAATAAGCTTATCTATGTCCAATAACCATAATGCTTGTATAACTCCAGTGCCAGAATGCAAATAAAGTGTATTTTAAGACAAATTTCAGAACTGTATACTGTGAGATAATATGCCGAAAACAAATAATTATATCCCACTGAGATACACTCTGAAGCATGGATTTTTTTTTTTTTTAGTACACCGATTGATGCTGAAATGGGACAGAAGAGATAGGAATCAACATATGCAAGACCCACACAAACTGGAATCAGGCCGAACTGGCCATCCTTGCTTAAGATACATACTCATTTCACACAAGCAGCCAATCAGGCCTGCTGTCCACACTGACATCTTCACACTGGGAACCAACCGTATGTCCCGGAAATCAAACTCCCCTGCAACTGCCCATTTCACGAGAAGCCAAAGCTTTCTTTCCAGAATACTTGCCATTGCTACTAAAAAAACTGCCATTACTAATTAGCTCAGGCGGAAAACAACCGATAAGTTTGCAAGGAAGTCCTGGTTTCCCTGGAACGCTGCCCAAAAACCTTTACCATAGAGGAGCCGTCCCCTGCCTGCTGCCCTCGAGGGACGTCGGCCTACGGTGCCCATCGCTGCCAGTGCAGGGGCGCGAAGGGCACTGCCGCCCAGCACATCTGGAGGGCGCCAGCTTGGGGAAGGCTGGCCCTCGATACAACCATCTTCTCTTCCCGCAAACCGACTACACTACAGCACCGCTGGGAGCTGTGGAACCTTTTCGCCGTCTACACATGCATAAGGCTGTGCCCTCAAAGAAAAGCAGGAGCGTTTCTATTTTGAAGCAACTTTCCACTCCGCGCTCCGGCTGCCCCGTCCCCGCCGACACGTCCCCCCGCCGCCCGACTCGGGTTTCCCCGCTTCACACGGGCACGTGCGTGCACACCCCAGCCCCTGGGTGGGTGATGCTGCTGCTGCTGCTGGTCCCCCAAGCCCAGGCACGGATCCGAGCAGGGAAGTTCCCCGGGACGCGGCCGGCCGTCGGACCCCGAGCAGGCGAGCCCGGCCCCGCTCGGGACGGGAGAGGCACGGCGGGCAACTCTCTCGGAGGCTCCCCCGCCGACCTGCCTGCCTGGCAGCCGCGCTCCCCTCCGCGCCGGGCGGGGCACCAGCACCCCTGCCCGCCTGCCTGCCCGCCTGTGCAGACCCGCCGCCTCGCTGCCGGCCGGCCGGCCGGCCGCCCCCTCCCTCCCTCCCTCCCTCGGCCAGCCCCCCGGCCAAGGCGGCAGCCCCAGCCCCTCCGGGGCGCCACCCAGGCCACCCCGCAACCGACCTGCCTGCGCCGGCCTCCCGCTCGCCTCCCCTCCCTCCTGCCCGAGACGTGGCGCTGCTGCGGCTCCTTCAGCCAAGGGAACGGCGGTGCGCCGCCTTAAAGTGCCCCTCCGGAAACGCCTCCCGGGTTGGGCCCGGAGACCCTTTCCTCCCCCCGAGAGGTTCTCCCCTCGACCCCCCAGAAGCCTCGCCACACCACCGCCGGAGGAAGAAGTCGAGGCAAAAGCGGGGGAGGGCGGCGCGGCGGCGGAACCGGAGGAGCGGAGTCGGTGTTTCCCCTGGAGGCGGACGGCTTATGCCCCCGGACCTTCCGGGAAGGGAGGCTGTCTGGGTGGTTTCTTTCTTCTTTTTTCCCCCTTCCCTGCCCCCACCCCGGCTTGTTTGTTTGGCTTTTGTTGCTCCTCCCCGCCATGTGTGGGAAGTGTGGGGTATAATTATAATGATACACAGTAGCTACGTATAGCCTGTCGGTTTGACCCGGCAGCTTACCTGACTTCTGTGCATGTTATCCTCACAACAACCCGGTAAGGTAGTTAGGCTGAGAATTTGCAACGCGCCCAATGAGCTTCATGGTCATGTGAGGACTGGAGCCCGGGTCTCCCCAGTCTAGCCAATGCACCGCACTCACAATATAGTATTTATAGCAGCAGAAGAAATATTTATGGTGAGCCAAATAATGAATTCCTAAACCTGGGCATGCAAGACTGCTTGTGAATGTAATTCCGGATAGATCAGTGCCTGCAGGTTAGTCCCCCAAAACAAGAACCATTTCAAAGCTCTGCAACAGCAGTTCTTACCATGTTACTTTTTCTGCATAGGAATGCAAATAGCCAAAGTGTTGTTTTGTCTGAGACAAGATTCAAGGGCAAAGGCTGCCAGCCTCAAGTTTTCAGACTACTTCAGATTAGGCAGTGTGGCAGCAACAGCAAAACAACTCCCCCTTTAACTGTCTTGAAGGACCCACAAGCTTGTGTCAGATCATTCCAGAAAATCACTAATGTGTCCTGAACTGAACATGCGCACACAAACCCCAAATGTGGCAAGACACATTCTTACAATCATTCGAAGTTTTACATATTATGTTTGGGGAACATGAGACCAAGAACAGAGATGTAAAGCTGAAAGTGCTGGACTGTTTATCTGAAAAACATTCCAGTGAATGTGTTGTGTTGTCTGACCTGTTCTGAGCCATTGCTGTTCATCAGATGAAATCCTATCTTTTCAGTTTTGATATCAGCATATTTTTATCCTTATGAGCACCTCTCACACTGAAACTTAGAAGATAGCACTGCTTCTGATATACAGTAACTGCTTGAAATGTCTCAGGGCAGACATTCACTGACACATTTTTTTTTTTCAAATAAATATTCAGCACCTTAGGGTTCATCTGTCTACACCTTTCTGGCTTATTTTGGTGGTTTATCATCCCCCACATCTCACAACACAGAACTACCAGCACCTTGATTAATAGTCACAGGACTAAATGAATTGCATTAGGAGAACTAAGCTATTCTTATTTGCCATGCTCAGATGAGTCAAATAGAAACTGTCATGCACGACTGGGGGGATATAGAAGAAAAGACAACTTGTGTCAGTAATGTTTTGGTGTCTCGGACAGACAATTTAAATGCCACATAGGCATGGTTGCATCCCTCAATCTGCCACTTGAGACCATCTCCACGATGGTGCAGCCAGTCTGGCTTATTTTGTGTATAGAGCTTTCCCTTTCATTTCATATCCTCGGCTGTGCTGCAGAACCCCTTGCTTTCCAAAATGTGTCCACAAGAGGGCACTGTGAGCCAGCTAAAGGTGCGATCCTTTGACGGGCGATGTTTCTCAGCCAGCATGACTAGCTGAGGGGGGTTTTTTCCCCTGTCTAAATACGCCTAGGACTGCACCCTAAAATAATTTGTCATGCATCTGATGAATAGGGCTTTTGGCCATGAAAAATGCCCACTTTTAATATGCCACAGGACTCTCGGGTGTTTTTGCTAAAATAATGGGTTGGAAATACACTAGAGAAAGAGAAGAATAACCTAATATTATATTGAGATTTTAGAACTGTTTGACACAGGTCAGCTTTTCACAGTGTGATTTTGAAATCTTCATTATCGGTTGACTGGGGCTCACTGTTGGATGTTACAGCTGCTGAATGGCATCTCTTTAAATACGAGTACGTCTTAGCTGCTTGCCAATAGACAGCTGTTGCTCAGTGAGAATACATGGCTGTGCACGCAACATCCTTCGGCTTGAATTCTGGTATCTCCAGGTAGGCTGAGAAAGACTTCTTGTCCACAAACCTGCAGAACTGCTACAAGGCAATGCCAACCAGGAATTCTCAGCTCTTTTGGACTGCTGGGCATGTTTGGAATTTTGAGAGTGTCATGGGTGCTTTCACACAATAACTATCCTTGGAGGTGATGAGCTATTCTGACAATGCCCATTTCCTAGATGGCAAGCTGGCAAGTTTAACAGAAAATTAATGCACCCAAGAACAAGTGGAAAGCAGAGATGGGGTCCGAGCTCCAAAATGCACAACCACGAGCCCACAAGCTTTCTGTGCAAACTGATGATGATCAGAAACAAGTAACTTGGCCAGGAATGCTATCTGGGGTCCAGAAGTGCTCTTGTAAATAAAGACAGTCCTGGGGAATGGCACTTCACTTTGGATCATGCCCACCTCCCAGCCAAAAAACTCAATTAATTGCAAAATCTAACTAAAATTTTAAAAAAGCGTGCCAGGCAAAAACATTTCTCTTTTCTAGCTATTTTAATAATAAATTTTAATAAACTTTTAGCAACTTTAAACTTAAAAATTATATACAATATATAATTTTATGGATACCATCCCAGTGAGAACATATATTTACCTATTTATTTATTGCTGTTTTGATGATCAATGATAGTTCATTGTTTTTATGGCACTGGTTGTTTATTATTAGTTTTATTGGTTTAGTGTAAGTGCAATCTCAAATGCTGTGAGCTGCCCAGAGACTCCATTTGGAGCAGGGGGCAGCGTACCAATGACAAATAAAATATATAAACAAATAAGTTGAAATCAGATAAATGGGGAGGTGTTTCAGTATTTCAAATGAACACCAAAAATCTCCATGTCATGTGCTCACTATCACCTCCTCTCCCTTCCCTCAAGGTCAGACCAGTCACCTGGGGCAGGAAAAAGTGGAGAAGGACTTCCAGACGATCCTTTTCTGCTGGGAACTGGTAGAAAAAGAAGCCGAATGCATTTATGAGAACATCTGCCCCCCAGTCCACCTTCTCTCCTTGGGTAAGCAGTGGTGGGAACTTGAATTCTGAGCCTTGATTCTGCAAACAGAAATTCGAAGGGAAGTACGTGACTATAGCAGCACCCTTGTTCCAATGCTCAGCCTTCCCCCCTAGAAGTCACAGTTGCCTTTTCAGCTCTCCGTTTCCAGCCTGACCCAAATAAAAAGAAGAAAATTGTGGGTTTCCCTTGGGGCCAGTAGGTGGCTCCCGTTCCACACCCGCAGTCGCCGATTCAGTTTGTGCTTTACTGGAAAAGAATTTGCCTTCTGAACGGAGGCAAAAAGCACAGTCCAGTCGGATTTAAGCACTTTTAAGCCACGTCGACTGCAGTGGGAGACTGATGTATGCATTTCAGAGTAAATATGCCTGGGACTGAGTAGCACCTTCTGCCCCAGGGAAATCAGCAGGACTTAATTTTTTAAATCAGTGTCTTGTATCCGCCTTCTCTGACCTGCTGCACTCCAGATGCTCTGGACCACAACTCCTACGATTCTTGGCAGTTGCCAGCTAAGCCTGGAGTGTGTTGAAGACCAAAACACCTTTGGGGGGTACCAGTTCAACACTGGAACCGTTTACCTAGATGAGATGGGTTGGACCCTTGCTTAAGGTCTTCAGGTAGACCTTGGATGGTGATTTGCTAGGGATATCCTAGCTCTTGATTTGGCATGTCAAGCAAGGAACGAGAGTAGATAGTCTCCAAGGAATCCCTGCAGGCCATGGTGCCCGGGAGTGACCCGGTGCGTTTGCAGGGCGCTAGTTTTGGAAAGACTAGCCTGCCTGCACTTTACTGGAGCTAGTATTCTCATTATTGATGCACCGCCCCCCATGCATTAATCATGAGATGCTAGGCAGAAGCATCTTAAATATCATCCATGTGCCTATCAGCATTTAATTATTATTCCCCTCGCTATGGCTTTTATGGTCCTCGCGCAAGTGCAGAGGATTCTTATCTCCATGTCCTATTTGTGGGCTCCCAAAAGGCATCTGTTGAAACAGGATGCCTATTACTAGGCGACTCTGATCCAGTAGGATTCTTCTTACGTTTACATAGTCATGCGTAAAAATACTTCAGTGTAGCTTTCCGTAACCTGATGCAAATTCCCACACCGCCAGCTAGCCTGGCGAGGGGATGCTGTGGGTTGTAGTCCAACACATCTCAGACACGTGTGTTCACAGTTGGCTATAATTCTGTTTCAGGCTGAACATTCTTGTTTAAACTGATGGCATTGCTGGGACTGAAGGGTGTGAACATAGAAATAAGAGTGACATGTAATGGTTCTGTACATCTCCTGACAGCATTGAAGCTAGCTCTAATTCCTGGGAACAACCGTGATCACTTTGATTTTAAATAACTCTTTGTTAGGGGGAGCGGGAAAAAGTTTGAAACATATCCCAGCTTTGCTCCAATTATACAAAACCAAGGGGCTGTTTACTACTGCAGATGGGACACACAGCAGTTAATCTTACTCTGTTTTAATTGTCCTTCTGCCTCTCCCAGACAGTGATCAGAAAGCGTGAGAAGGCGGACATTCTCTCAGTTCTGAATACTGGTTAAGGCAGGGGTGGGCATCTAGTGGCCCTTCAGAAAGCCTTCATCCTGTGGCTTTGCATACAGCTGCCATCATCCCCTACCACTGATCATGCTGGCTGTGGGTGATGGGAGTTGGAATAAAAAACCTGAGGTTCTGCACTCATGCCCTACTAGAAAGGAACAGTTACAGTTTTAAACACCTTTGTCCATATCTCTTGTAAACAAGATTCCTTCGACCTTGGCCAGCTACTTGTTGTGCTTTTCAAAGACCTTGA